CAGCCCCATAGCGGTTCTGTTCTTCATCCTCCTACAGCTCAGGCCTGACCACGTCCTTCCCATCGCCTCTAGGATTTTAACTCCTTCACAGCACAGGGCAGCGCTGCGTCTCTTCTCTCCGGGCCTTTGCCCAGGCTGCCTTCCCTCCTCACCTCCGAGGCCCAGAACCCTCGCCAGCTTCCCCTCCCAGGCTTAGCTCCTGAGCCAACCCCTGTGGGAAGCCCGGGCTGACGCCCTCAGCCTGCTCCACCTCCTCAAACCATCCCATACATGCTTACCTGTAGACATCCCTCCCCATACAGACAAACGTGTTAGAATATGCCACTGGATCAAAAGATTAGGATTTAGAGAGAGAAGGGACGTGAAAGGTCATGGAGTTCATTTTACAGAAAATGAGGCATGGAGAGGGTCACACAGCTCCTAGTGTCTGAGGCAGGATCTGAATTCAGGTTTTCCTGACTCCAAGTCTAGGGCTCCAGCCACTGCTCTACACTGCCTCTGTTTACTCTCTCTGTAGCCGCAGGGCCCAGCACAGTGTTTGGCACATGGTAGTGCTGCACAAGTGCCTGCTGGCTTGGCTCTGTCCCAAGACATTCCTCCTGCTCCACGCCTAGCCTCAGATGACCTCCCTGCCCTCTTCCTGAAGTGAGGGCATGACAGACGTTCTCAGTGGGTCACAAGGCCGGCCCCCAGGCTTTGCTGACTGGCTCACCTTGACCGCTTTGCTCAGCACCTGCAGCACGTCGGCCCCCGGGGTCTTCAGGGCGTGGAGTTCCTGGCCTGCGGCCCATAGCGAATCCAGCTGCCCAAGACAAGGGAGAGGAACCCTGAGATGGGCAGGCACTGTGGTGGTTGGGGGGCTCTGAAGGGAACGAGGAAGAGGAGGGCAGCGGAGCAGAGGGCATACGCACCATGGTCCTGTCCCCAGGAGCAGCTTTGCCATACCTGTCAGGACATGCAGAGAGAACCTCAGGTGAGCCAGCGGCCTCCCAGTGTTTACCGAGGGATCATCTCCTGGGCATGGAGGAGTGACTCACCGCTGCATGGCCTCTAGGCCAGCGTCCATGGCAGCAGTCCAGGCGGGGAGGCCAGGCGTGGCCTTGAGGGGCTGGGCAGCCGCAGTCAGGAACAGGCCATAGAGCTGGGGTCCAGAATCAAACCCAAGGAGGCTATGAGCAGTCAGCCTCTACCTTGGTGCCTGCGGCACTGGACTTTCTCAGCCACGGGATCTTCCCCTTGGCCCGAGGGTGCCCCAGCTCCCCGCCCCTGCCCCAGCTCTCCTGACAACGGGCTTGGCTCCCCAGCACTCACCGCCCCTGATGAACCTCCCATCTTCTCCAGCAGGAGCCGGGACAAGCCAGAGAGTAGCTGGTCAGGGCGGCTGGGGGGTGGGCCCTCCTTCAGCCATTCCTGTATTGCTGAAAGAGCAAAGAGAAACTTTGAGCAATGTGGTGGTAGGGGAAGGGGGAAAGCTCAGAGGTCCCGGACCCCAGCACTCCCTAGGCCGAGACCAAGGAAGCATTCACAGTCAACCAGAGGCCGAAACCCAAGGGAAAGAACCGAAGGGGGCTGGGGAGGGAGGGTGGGTGGGGGATCCTCCCATCTGGAGACCAGGACCCGAAGGAGGCCCACGAGGCCTTGATCCCTTCACCCATCCCTCTGGCAGTGACCTCTGGCAGCTCGGCTATGCGTGGTGCCACAATCGCCGTCTCCAGCAGCTCGGTCCAGAGCATTCAGGTGCTCCTCCAGGCCAAGGAGGGTGGCACACACTCGCTGCAGGATGGCAGCTGCCCTCTGGGAGCTAGCACCTGGCAAAGAGAGGCCAGTGGGGAGGGGGCCCGGTGCTCCAGAGAGCTGGGGCTGAGTATCCCCCCCGTGTCACCCCCCCAGCCAGATGGGCAGGGTACCTCCTGTCGCCGTCGGCTCGGTGCCCTCTGGCTTCTCGGTGGGGGCTGCCCGGCTCCGGGTGCGACCCGTCACAGGCACTCTGGCTACGTTGGGCCAGGCCGAAGCTGTGGTTTTGGCATCTGGGAATGAACGGGAGGCAGGCTCAGGCGTGGCACAGCCACATGGCTTGGCTTCCTGAGCTGGAGGGGACGGGGAAGTGGAGGTTCGCAGCCTTCTTGCCTCATGAGAAGAGGATGTGGGGGTTGGGGGAGAGGGTGGAAAGATTGGAGAAGCCCAACCCCACCTTCCCCTCGAGTCAACTACGACAGGAAGGAAAAGCTGGAAGTAAGCTTTCCAGGGGACTGAGTCCCTCACCTTGCCCCTGACCTAGGAGAAAGGCCGTGTTTGCCCAGCCTCCTCGGGTCCCCTCAGCCCATGGGGAGAAGTTCAGGCCTGCAGGACCTTGGCCTTGGGCTCCTCACCTATCAGTTTAAGGAGGGCATCATCTACCAGCAGGAGGGTCAGGGAGATGCCAGCCATTTCCAGTGCTGACATGAAGGTGCCCACCAGGGCCCGGGCAATCTTCACACCACGGGCCTCTAGAATCCAGAGCAGAAGGCAGCCATGAGGACGGAGGGCACGGGGGAGGGCAAGGACCCCCGACAGAAGCCAGGGCAGTAGAGCCGGAGGCCTTGCAGAGGCCGAGGGGCGATGGGCAGATCTCGAGAGAGCCCCACCAACCTCACTCCAGAGGGCCACCTTCCTGGGGCCCTCCTCACTGTCTCCTAACGTTCCTCCTCGTTTCCCAGTGTAGGGATGGCTCCCTAAGGGACATCCCCCCTCAATCTGAGACTCACCGAGGCAGCGGACTGCTGCGTCAGCCATGATGCCCAGCTCCAAGAAGGACAGGCCTCCCAGATTATTGACGACCAGCACCACCAAAGAGCCTGTGGACAGCGGCCCCCACAAATCAATCAGTGTCTCAACAGGAATTGGTTAATTAAGCACGTGGTCTGTGCTAGGCGCCGAGGGTGTGAAGGCAAAGAATGAAACACTCCCTGCTGACCAGGACCTTCTGTTCCAATGAGGCCAACAGGATGAATGTGTCCATCGTATGTAAAAGTGAATGCTACAAATGGCATAATAACAGCCTCTCTGCGGCACCCCAAGGTTTGTAAAGTGCTTCGCAAACACTGTTCCATGCCCATTTTACAGATGTATATGAGGGAGTCAGGTACAAGGCAGTCTGGGAGGGAGGGAGGGCGCCAGCAGGCCCAAGGAGGGGAGTGAGCTCTGGGACGCTCCAAGGGTCAGGCATGTGGGAGGGCCAGAGCAAAGGTGTGGAGGCTGGCGATCAGGTGCCACGTGTGGCCAATAGAGAGAAGGCCAGTTTGGCTGAGTACGAGAGGCAGAGCAGCGTCCAGTGGGCAGGACGATACGCTGGTGCCAGGCTGTGCGGGGCCCTGAAAGCCAGATGAAAGTATTATCCCAGAGGCTATTCCCAGGAAGCCACTGGAGTTGGGCGACTGGATGGGGGTGAGTCAAGACCAACTTTGGCCGTGGTCTGTGGATGGAAGTGAGTCGGGGGCTGGTGAGGAGCCTGCCGTGATGGTCGAGGGGACAGGTGACGAGGGACGACTAACATGGCGGTCGTGTGGACAGCGCGAAGGGGTGGGATGTGAGATGAAGCCATGGGAGGATCTGACAGCTGAGGAGATGTGGGTGAGGGGCAGGGAGGATCGTCGGATAACACCCAGCTTACAGAGCCAGGAGATGGAAGGAGCCTCCCTGGACAGACGACTCACCAGGCCTGACCGGCACATGGGACTCGCTGGAAGGGTCGGTCATGTGGTCAATCATTGTCTTCACTACCTCATCCGCCGTGGCCATCTGTGCATGAGAGGCAAGAGTGAGGGGGGTTTGGCCTAGACCCTGTTCTGGAGCAGCATGAGCTCTGAGCAAGCACTCACCCACCTACCTTCAGCCGACGTACGCCAGCCTCCCCGTGGATCCCTGGGGAAAGAAGACATCAAGGCTATAGGGAACACCAGGTGACATCCCCAGCGTGAGTGGAGATAAGACAGCGTCCAGCCTACGGACGCCCCGGGACGAGGGTCTGCCCGACGGGACGTGCCGCAGGATGGGACAGACTCATGTCAGACATAACAGATAAACGCCCGAGGCTGCTGGGGATGCAGGGCACACATCCTTCCCAGGCAGCCTATGGACACCTCAGGACGAGGGTGTGCCCGACGGGACGTGCCACAGGATGGTACAGACTCATGTCAGACTTAAGGGGTCAAACACCTGAGGCTGCTGGGGATGCAGGGCGCACATCCTTACCCCAGGCAGCCTACGGACACCTCAGGACGAGGGTGTGCCCGATGGGACGTGCCGTAGGATGGGACAGACTCATGTCAGACGTAACAGACAAACGCCCGAGGCTGCTGGGGATGCTGGGCACACATCCTTACCCAAGCCCAGCTCCATTTCATCAACAGGAAGCTGGAAGGTAGGTTTGGAGCCTGGAACGCTGCAGGAGGACAAGCTCGCCCCCAGGGTGCCTAGGAGGAAAGAGGGCAGGACATGTGGCTACCAGCAGTGTGGGCACAAAAGGGCACACAGATGTCCACAGAGGAAGAGCCTGACCGATCAACAATTTAGTCATTCGGGGAGAACATGCTTTGCTCTGGACAGCCCTGTGGGCTGCGCATTCTAGCCTGGCCCCAGGTCACTGCAGGCACTTGATGGGGCGGAGACCCTGGCTAGGTGAAGGGCCCAGCAGGTGGAAATAAAATATGCCTAAGGATCTCCGCAATGGGGAATGGGGGTGAGCGGGGACACCCCAGAATGCCAGTGCCCGAGAGCAGGAGCTCCCCAGACTCTTCAGCCTCTAGCAGCTCACCAGACAGGCTAGTTTGGCTTGCCAGCACTCACGCTTTTGCATCCTTCCTTCAGAAAGGTCCTGTTCCCTCCATAATGCTCCTTTTCCTCCCAGGGAATGGGGAAGCTGTCCCCCCAGGCCAGCACTCATCCCTGGCAGCACAGCCCCACCCTCACAGCACTCACCCCTGACCCCCCACCCCCCAGCCCCACCCCCAGGCCAGCACTCACCCATGACGGCAGCAGCTGCGCTCACTCTGTGAACAATGTCGTCGAGCCCCACACCCGCCTCTGCCAGAGCACCCGCCACCTGTACCAACACAGGGCCAAGCTCCCAAGGGATGAGTGACTCCACAGTTTGGGGCAGGGAGGGCAGGGGTTGATGTTAAGGGGCAAAGGAGAGAAGCCTCCCTGGTGAGGTGCCTCCCTCCCGGTCAGTCGCAGCCAATGGGCCTGACCTTCCTGGGGAGGGGGGGCTGTCAGAGGGGGAGATTTCGAGGGGCAGACCTGGGTACTAGCGATGGCTCTTCCACTCACTACCTGTGTGACCCTGGCCAAGTCACTTCCCTCTCTGGGCCTCAGTTGTCTCACTGAGCTGAGCTGGGAGGCACCTTCTAGTTGTGACTGCACTTGTCAATCCTAGGGAGGGGTGAAAGAGGGCACCCCATCGCAGCTGATCATGGCACGGGGGACAGGATGGTCAAAGGGGAAGAGAGGAAGCAGTGCCCAAGAAGGCGGACCTCCATCCCACAGGTGAGGCTCAGGGCAGGAGTCCTAGAGGAGTCCTCTACGTGCACGCCTACTACATGCGAGGCACTGGGTGCCAGGGCACCAAGACACAAACAGACCCTGCCCCCCGGGAGCTCCCACCTTGTGGATGAGCACTGTGCCACAGAGGCCCCGCCTGCCCGCCTTCTTCAGGCTGGTAAAGGCGCTGTCATCGCCGATGACAACCATCTCCACTGGGATGCCCTCCGCCCGGGCCTGCTCCCGGGCCAGCCCGAAGTTGAGTCGATCACCGGTATAATTCTTCACGATGAGCAGCGTCCCCGCTGCAGAAGCCAGAGTGGGTCAGGAAGCCCTCGCCCCTTGGTTCTCCTGCCCTCCCCTCCCCAAGGCCACATGAAGCATTGCTGCACCAAGCCCACCATACCTGTGCCAGCCTGAGCCACTGCCCGTATCGCAGCCAGGATGCTGCCAACCGCGGGGGACGTGAACACCGCACCAGCGATGACCCCGGTCAGCATCCCTTTGCCTATAAAACCTGGAGGGAGAAAGGCGAAGGTGAGGGGCTGTGCCCTGCAGGGTCCTCTTCCCTCCAGCCCCCACCCCACTGCCTCTGTTCTCAGCAGTTCTGTCCTTTACACAGAGCTCCGGGGAGTCCAGAAGCCTGAGGGATGGTCCCGGCCCTCAAAGGGCCTCCTGTCTTATTGGGAAGACAAGACCAGCACGTGTGAAAATGCTTCAGGAAAGACACAGAGCAGGCTCCATTACGGACCAGCCCCTATGAGCCTCTGCTGAAGTCCCCGCAGGAGGGATGCCTCGGGGGGGGGTGGGGGGGTGGGGAGGGGGGCTATGGCAGTGACCCCGGGCCCTTCAGGACCAAGCTCTTCCTGCAGAGGCTGCCGTTCCAGGACCAGCCTGACCAAATTCTGAGAGGCGCACGCCACATAAATGTCACAATACTGCTGTGCTCTCAGAAGCCTCAAGCGGCGCTGTTTCCAAGAAACCTCGGAAGACTTGTGTGAACTGATACAGAGAGAAGCGAGAAGGACTTATACAACAGCAACAAGGTTCTGAATACCAACACTCCCGAGGGATTTAAGACCTCCGGTCACTACAGTGACCCAGCCACGTGCGACAACTGTCCTCAGAGGACGGAGGGCGACGCAGCCTCCCACCTCCTGGCAGATGACGGACACAAGAAGATGAGAAACGAGACAGACATTTCTGGCCACGGCCACGGGGGGGATTCGTTTTTCTAGATTATGCTTATTTGTTACAACGCGGGTCTTCCCCTCCAATGTAGAGAAGGGAAAGGGGATTCTTGTTAAATTTTTTAAAATTAATCTTTTTGAGGAGGAGGAGGGGGAGAAAATTTAAAACTCAAAATCTAATGGAAGTGAATGTTGAAAACTAAAAATAAATGAGTTAATAATTTTTTAGAAACATAAAAATAAATAAATTTTTTTAAAAAGAGAAACAGCATTGGAAGTGAGGAGGAGAGCATAAGCAGAGCACTGAGGCAGGAGACAACGAAGACGCCAGTTTGACTATGGCTGGATCTCTCTCCCTTGGGCCTCAGGTCCCTGATGCTCTGAATCTCCCCACATCCTCCTGCACCTCATCCCCAAGCCCTCTGCCTGGTGTGGGCCCTTTGTCCTCTCCAGCCGCTCACCCGCATGGGCAGGCTCATGGCCAGAGCCCCCGCCCGACAGCAGGGCCACCCGTCCCTTCAGGCTCTCCAGATCAGAGCGCAGGGCCACTCGGTGTCCTTGTAGAATCTGGAGGTCAGGGTTACAGGCCACCAGCCCGGCCAGGGCATCATCGGCACAGCCTGTCACAGAATTCACCAGCTTCTTGGAGGACTGTTGGGAGAGAAAGTGAGGAGTCAGGATATCCCCAAAAGAAACATTTACCCTTCAACGCACCACTATGGTTTCCCCTCCAACTCCTTAGGTTAGAACAGCAAAGGGGCATCAGGGGAGGCCTTAAAATCATCACCCAGTTCAATCCTGCCTCAGACCTTTACTAGATGTGGAACCCCGGGCAACAATCTCGGATTCAGTTCCCTTGGCAGTAAAATGGGGATGATAGTCACTTAACCCCAATTGCCTAAAAATAAATAAATAAAATAACATAAAATAAAATGGGGATGATAAAAGCACCTACTTCATAGGACCCAGAGAATCAAATGAAATAATGTAGGTACGTAAAGTGCTTTGGAAACCTCATTATTAGCCTGGCATTCAAGGCTCAGCTGTTTGACTCTGCTCTCCTTTTCCGCCTTATTTCAGAGTCCTCTCCTCATGTACCTGCTCTGCCTTTCCCAAAATCATTCTACCATCTCCTCACTCTGCACTCACACAGACTATCCCCTCCAGGCCTGGTGGAAGTCCTTCTGGAGGCCAGAGGCTGCTCAATTTTATCTTTGCCCCTCTAGGACCTAGTCCAGAGCCAAGTGGATTGAAATACTCCTCTTCCCTCGAGGCCGGGCTCAGCCAATCAACAAGCATTTGTGAAGGATGTCTGGAGCTGGGCTAAATGGGGGGAGGGAGATACCAAGCCCTCAAGGAACTCATTCTAATGGGGGAGATGGTGGAGGGTGGAGGGGGTGTCCCAGTGAGTCTCCAACAAACTGAGACATGGAAAGAGAACCTAGAAAAGCCCAACTAAATATGAAGAGGCCCTGGAGACAGCTACCCCAGCTCCAGAGTCCCAACTACATTCATACTTTTGTCCCCAGGCTCCCCACTAAATCTAGAAAGGAATGTTGTTGTTCAGTCATTTCAGTTATGGCTGACATTCCATGACCCCATTTGGGGTTTTCTTGGCAGAGATACTGGGGTGGTTTGCCATTTCCTTCTCCAGCTCCTTTTACAGGTGAGGAAACTGAGGCAAGCAGGGTGAAGTGACTTGTCCGGGTCACACAGCTAGTAAGTGTCTGAGGCTGAATCTGAACGTCCTGGCGCTCTGTGCACTGTGCCACCTAGGTGACCCTAGGCAGCAGTAGGGGAGGCAGAATTGACTGGATTCACATCATGCTAATCACATTTAGGAAAGGTAGAGCAGCCTACTGAGAGAAGGGGGTTTCGAGCCAGGAGAGATAAGACATCTCTGTCTTCTGCTGTAGGTGACGATCTCAGAGCTGGGGTACTGAGGGACTCAAAGGGAAGATTCTAAACTAAGGGTCTTTCCTTTGCTTTAGTTAAGCTGAAAAGCCACCGTAGAGCTCCCAAAGCCAGTGGCTAAAGCTGGAAACGACTGCAGCCACTCACCAAAGAGTGAGCCAGGGACTTCGTGCCTGGGAGGAGCCCACGGCCTGGTCACTGCCTGGTCCAGGCTTGCCCTGGGGAGATCAGCGCTATGGGCTCCACACAGTAACCACTGAGCTGCCTCAGTGTGGCCTGCCTGGACCAGCGGCCGGGCAGCCACCAAGCTCTTGGGACCTCTTTGACCTGTGCCGACGCTGGACTGGTCCAGGCAGCTGAGAGAGCTCACCTGTCTGGAGCAAGTCCTGGAGATGCTCAGCTCTTACCCATCCCACGGCCTGCAGTGAACTGAGGACTCTCGAGAGCAAGAATGTCAAATACAGCCCTCCATGGCCCATGTTGACTTAGAAAACTACAAACTAACATCATTTGTGTTATGTTGTGTTTTTATTTACCATGTTAAACATTTCCCAATTACATTTTTTGGGGGGGGGCTAGTCAATGGGGTTAAGGGACTTGCCCAGGGTCACACAGCTAGTAGGTGTTATGTGTCTGAGGCTGGATTTGAACTCAGGTCCTCCTGACTCCAGGGCTGGCGCTCGATCCACCGTGCCATCTAGCTGCCCTCCCAATTACATTTTAATCTGGTTCTGGACACAAGTTTAATACTTCTGCTCTTGAGAAAGAAAGGAGACGGAGCCCTTGTTCACTTGTCAGTCCCGTGGCTCCATGTGTCCCTACACGTGAGCCTGGTTATCATTGTACTTGCTTTTCATGACCACTCTCCCTAACAGGCCCTGTGTGTTTTTGTGAGAGAGGACATACCAGTTCTGAGTGAGAAGCTTTGTAACTAACATTCTTGCCATGCTGTTTGAGTAAATGCCTTTGTTAAAGAATTAAATCTACCGTCTCATGGTGATGGGAATCGCACTAGTAGGGGCTCATAAGGCAGAATTAAGAAGATGGCCAGCCACAGGATTGCCCTTCATATCTTGAAAGTAATAGAAAGTAATTAGGTCCCTCAGGGGACCCAGTCTGCCCATGCTGGCTCAGTGCAGGACAGTGAGTCCAGAGTGGGGTATTAAACACAAGTCAGAATGGGAAGCTTAGATGTTGCTCACTCCACAAAGCTTCTCTTGATCTCCACTTGTAATCTCAATACTGGAGTGAGGTCTAAGGCAGAACAGATCTGGCCGATTGCAGGGGATGGGGGGAGTACCACAAACTTACTTCCCCTCTCTATAATCAGCCAGGCCCCACAACTCCGCTGATCCTGGCCTTTGACACCGGCCCTGCTCTCTACCATCCGTGTCCTTCCCCATCCCTACCTGCCATCTTTCTACTTCTTGCTCAGGACTGATATTCAAATCAATATTACCATTGCTACCATGGTGAAAGGCATGACAACCTCCTGCCCATCCAGGTGAGCTCCAACCGCCAGGCTATTCTGACCATTCGTTATGCTGCCTAGAGGCCTTCTTCTATTGTTAACCTAGACCTGTACCACCCCCTGGGAAATTACTTTGTATCTATTTCATAATTAAATTTCTGTGTATGTACTGTTTTCCTACCAATAGAATATAAGCTCCTTGAGGGCAGGATCTGGGGCTGTTCTTTTGACATAGTAGGTCTTTTCAATTCTACCTCCACAATATGTCTCCCCTTGTCTCCGCTTCCAAAGCCAACTGTCTTAGTGTGGGCCTGATCATCTCTTACCTAGACTATCACAAGAGATTCTTGTCTCTCTGCTTCCGACCCTCCCCCCTGCAAGCCTTCAGCCGCACAGCTGCTCATACCATCGTCCTGAGGCATGAGGTCTGACCAGAGCTGGAACTAGCAATTCTCATGCCTGGGGCAAACACCACAAAATGGCCTGGTTGGAGGCAGGACCATGGGACTCAAGACACAAGGCCCAGGGGGGAAATAACCTGAAATACTGCCCAGTAGCAGGAGACAGAGACCCTGGCCCACTCAAGGGCATTTTCACTGAAGAGGAGAGAGGGAGGTGGGGTGGACCAGGGCAGAGTTCACCTGGACTGCAGCTATCAGAGCTAACTATTCTTTCTAATTGGGTACTAAGCTCGAGGTTTTTACCTGCTGAAGGAGAACAAGGGTTGTCGGCACCCTCTAAATTTCTCTATCCTGAGCCAAAGTTCTGGCTACCCCACACTAGTTACCACCTGGAGTCTAAGCCCGTCATGCTCCTACTGAACACTCTCTACTGGCTTCCTAAGGCCCCTGGGACCAGGTAAACTCCTCAGCTTGGCACTTAAGCCCCACGGCCTGTCTTTTGGGCTCCTTTCCAGATTTAATTTACCTGACTGCCCCTTAACGTACGTAATGATCCTGCCTAATATTCTAAGGTGCTCCAGCCAGACTGCTGAACCTGATTTTCACAAGATCACAGACTGAGAAGCAAAAACGATCCCCACATTTTCCAGATGAGGAAACCGAGGCTGGAGAAGTGAAAGGGCTGATTTCAGGTCCCACAGGGTCAGGATTCCAACGCAGAGTCCTAGGAGTCAGGAAGCAGTAGCCTTTCCTCCTGGGACGTCAGCCTGGGTCCGCCCTGAGAAGAGGGACGGAGGATGGGCCAGAGGTCAGCCTGCAGGGCCTCTCTCCATTAGAGAGGGCCAAATGGGAACCAAGGCCTGGAAAATGCTCCCCAAACCTTCAAAGTCTTACAGAAATGCTGGCTATTTATGTTATCTGAACAATAATTCCTATTATTCCACTAATGCCTTCTGGTGGATGAAAGGCGACATTACAGCCTTTCTGGCCCTGCTACAGGCTTGGGTCTGTTAATGGCTGAAAGGGACCCCAGAGGCATTCAGGCCATCTCCCTCATTTTATAGATGAGGGAACTGAGGCCCAGAGAAGTCACAGAATCAACCTATCAGCCGATCCACGCACATTTATTAATTGCTTACTGTATGGCAGGCACTGTGGCAATCACAGAGTCAGAGCCGGAAGGGCTCTTTCGAGATCCTCTCCCTAATTTTACACAGGAGGAAACTGAGGCAGGGAGGCATTAAGGGGCTTAAGCGCTCAAGGCCCCTGCCAGCACAGTAGCCAAGCCAGGTGCCCTGACTCTAAGGGGGATGAATGAGGGGGCTTCTTCCAGCTCTGAATTCACGTCCCCACGATCCTGCCCATCACCTGCGGCCTCTTGCCTTCTGGTGAGATGTAACCCACCACAAACAGGCCAGCGGCACCTGAGGGACAGCCTCGGTCTAGAGGGGAAGGACAGGTAAGTGCCCAAGTGTAAGGGGAGGACAGAGGCAAAGGGCACCAGCCCTGACCACAAGCAGGCAGTGGTGTGGTCAGTTCAGGGGAACCTGAGAGAGGAGTGCTAGGCCTGGGCCCCATGCCCCAGCAGCTAGCCCGCCAGCCCCGCTGGTGACACAGACCGGCCCCCTCATTTTACAAATGAGGAAGTAAAAACCAGAGAGGTCACAGGATTTGCCTGAGATCACGGAGCTGGGGCGTCTCCTGCCTCCTCATCGTTCCCATGACCATGCTGCCTCCCACCAGTGAGGTGATCCATCTGCCAGGCTAGAGAAAGTCTTTTCTGATTCCTGCCCCCCCCCCATTCTTCTAAAATTACTTTGTATATACTTTGTAGTCACTCACTTCCCCCATCCCAAGTAGAATCTAAGCTCTCTGAGGGTAAGGACTTGTATACCCAGTGCCTGGCTCAGTCCTTGGCACGTAGTAGAAGTCTAACAAGTGTTTGTTGAACTGACAATGAGCTTCGGCATTGAGGTTAAGAGGAAGAACCAGAAGGCCATGGGCGTCTTGCCCTGGGAAGAACTCAACCGTGATGGTTACAAAGCCCAGGACACACGGAGGAGGCCAGGGCCAAGCCTGATTCTGTCCAGCTCAGAGTCGGTGGCTTGGCTGAATCCTGAACTCGGCACAGCCCAGCACTCCTGACGCCAGGGCTCAGGGCGCCTGGCGTCCGCCTGAGTTAGTGCCGTGCTCTTCTGTTTAGCTCAGCTCTGGGGCACCCCTGCTCCCCTGTATGGGAGGCCTGGTCACTCAGATCAGCCTGGAAGGGGGCTTCCCAGTCCCACTGGTAGCCAAGGTCCGAGGAGGCACTGTTCTGGTTTGGGCAGCTTCTAGCGGCTACCACTGTCAGCCGGCCCGTGCTCTGAGGCCAGACACCACCAGTGCCTGTTTGAGCCCAGGGCTCCCTTCTCCCTCCTCAGGCCCTGAAGAACTCACCATGGTGGGCAGGATTGCCAGGAGGAAGCAGAATCCACCAAGAGTTCTTCTGAACCAGCGGCTGCCTCAGGGGCTATTTGTCCACTGGGACTCTTCTTAGCTGAAAGGAGACAGCGAGAGTGAATGGGGTTAGGTGAAGTGGAGGCAGTATTTGGAGACCTGGATGAACAGGGGCTGGCTTATTAAGGGGCTGAGCCACGCCAAGCACCTTGGCACCAGCAGGAGCTCTCCACCTGCCAGGATACTGCTCCCACCTGGGACTTCGGTCCGAGTCCAAATTCTAACACGTGGCTCTGCGCTGGAGTGTGGGAGGCCCAGAGGAAGGAGGACCAAAGTCCACACATGCCCCAAATCCTCTCCCTCTGCTGCAGGAAAATCGATCCGGGGCACACATCCAATCTTTGGGAGCAGGGCTGGGCTCGAACACTCAAGGCAAGGACATCCCATGAAGTCTGGGCAGGCTCCCACGTTGGTGAGTATGGATACCCGCCAGTGACCTCCTGGGGCCGGGGGGGAACAAAGCAAACAACCACTGATTTTTTTGGCTCCCAGAAGAAGCTGCCCCTGCATCCTAAAACTGGGGAAATGAGATGGAGCAGGCACTGCAGTGCAGTGGAAAGAGTCAGGGACTTGGGTTTGAATCCAGTCTGTTAATTACTAGCTGGGAGACCTCAAACATGTCATTTAAACCCTTTGTGTCAAAGTTTACCTGTCTGCAAAAGAAAGGCATAGGAATGGTGATGTTAGAGGGTCTGATGGTGAAGCGTGCCTCTCTCCTTTTGGCAGAGATGTGGTGGACTACGGGTGCAGAATGAGGCATACATTGTGTGGAAGCATATTAAATTCTTTTTAGTTCAACTGAAAATATTAAGAAATGGTATTTTTTTTGGAACACTAATGCATTGTTGGTGGAGTTGTGAAATGATCCAACCATTTTGGAGAGCAATTTGGAACTATGCCCAAAGGGCTATCAAAATGTGCATACCCTTTGACCCAGCAATAGCACTTCTAGGGCTATATCCCAAAGAGATCATACAAATGGGCAAAGGACCCACACGTGCAAAAATATTCATAGCAGCTCTTTTTGTGGTGGCAAAGAATTGGAAATTGAGAGGATGCCCATCCATTGGGGAATGGCGGAACAAGTTGTGGTATATGAATGTAATGGAATACTGTTGTGCTATAAGAAATGATGAACAGGCTGACTTCAGAGAAACCTGGAAAGACTTGTATGGACTGATGCTGGGTGAAGTGAGCAGAACCAGGAGAACATTGTACATGGTAACAGCCACATTGTGCAATGACTAATATTGATAAACTCAACCCTTCTCAGCAATGCAAGGATCTAAGACATCTCCAGAGGCCTCGTGATGGAAAATGCTATCCATATTCAAAGAAAGAACTAAGGAAGTTGAATTGCTATTTTTTTTTTCTCTTCTGTTGAGTTTTGTTTCCTCTTTCTGATGGTTCCTCCTATTGGTTCTATTTTTTGCTTACAACATCACTAATGTGAAAATATGTGTAATAGGAATGTAAATGTATAGCCTGTATCAGATTGTGCACCGTCTTGGGGACGGTGGTGGGGAGGAAGGGGGAGAAAAATTTTAAACTCAAAAGCACATGGAAGTGATTATTGATAAATCAAAATGAATTAATAAAAAATTTAAACAAAAGAAATGGCATTTTTTTCCAGCCTAAGTTCCTTTTTGGACTAGATAGAATAAAGGTGAAAAGGTAAAGGCTGAGGTCCCAGAAATGAATCCAGGGTGAAAACCACCCCTAACTTGGCCTCCTACGGGCATCTTCCTCCTTCGTGTCCCAGGATTAAGATGCTGGGGTTTTGGAGGGTCAAGCCCGGGCTGCATTTTAAAACCTTCTGGTTCCAGACTCCCGTATTTGTTACTTGGCGTGGTCATGGGGTCGGAGGGCCACCGGCCGGTGTGACCGTCTGGATCCGGCCTAATTCTAACTGAAGTGTGCCCGAAGTCGGGGCGCCCTGCTTTCCCCCCTCCGCTGTCGGGGTGTCTGCTGGGGGCTGGGCCTGCCTGGCAAGCCTGGTCCTGGGGAGGCTCCGTGGGGGGGGTCTCTATGCCAATCTCTCCTGGGCCTGACTCCCGGGCAGCCCTCCCCTTCCCAGGCCGGTCCGGGGTGAGGCCCCCGCGGGAGAGCTGCGGACCCGACTCAACGCTGCTCTGTTACAGGCCGGGAAACAGAGACCCACGAAGGCCAGGCCGCGTGCTACCAAGTGCCAAGGCCAGGGGCTCGCTCTCTCTCCCTCTCTCGGGGGCACACACGGGGCTCTGCACACAGCAGGTGCTTAATAAGTGCCCGTGGCCTCGGAGCCCCTCGAGCCGGTGCGGGTGACCCGGGCACACGCTCGGAAAAGGGCTGCGGGGTCCAGGAGCAGGGAACGGTGAGGGAGGGGGGCCATGCCAAAGTCCTGGGTGCATGGAGGGGCTGGGTCGCCCTGGGCAGGCGGGAGAGGCAGGAGCAGCAGCGCGGCACCAGCTGTGGGAGGAGCCGGGCATGCACGGGAAGGGTGGGGGGAGGGGGGCGGGGAGCGGGAGGCCGCGGCTCCGGATTGGGGGACTGCGGCGCAGGGGGCGGGCTCAGAACGCGGGGCGCGAGTTCTGAGGAGGGGGGTGCTGAGGGGGAACTGGCGTTAGCGCTCTCTCCTTCTCCCCCCGCCCCCCGCGCGAGCTCACCTGCCGCCAAGCCGCGAGGCGCCTGCTCCGCTCCTTACGCGCCGAGGGGGGGCGGGTAGAGCGTCCTTCCATCCGGGGCTCGGCGGAAGGGGGCGGGGCCTGCGGCCCGCCGGCGTCTTCGGGCTGGGGAAGCGCGCTGAGACCTCCGAGCCGCTAGGGGAGCTCAGGACGCCCGTCCCGTGGTGCCCCGCGGCCAGGGCGCTCTAGGGGGCGGCGGCGGCGCGTCTCGGCGGCGGCGGCGGCGGCGGCGGCGGCGGCGGCGGTGGTGGTGTAGGTGCGGAGGCTGCGCGCGGGGTCCGCTCGTCTCTCGGCCGTCGCCGCGTCCGTGTCCGTGTCCGTATCCGCGGCCGCCCGAGCCCCTCGCCCCCTCGGCCCCCGCCCGCTCCGCCCCCGGCCCGCCCGGCCCGGGCTCCGGCCTCGACATGTCGTACAACTACGTGGTGACGGCGCAGAAGCCCACGGCCGTCAACGGCTGCGTGACGGGTGAGGGAGGCCGCGGGCCGGGGCGGGGGAAACTGAGGCCCGCCCGGGGAGGGGCCACGTGCGGCCGGCGGCTCGCCGAGCTGCAGGGGGAAACTGAGGCCTGCCCGGGGAGGGGCCATGTGGCCCAGAACTCCCGGCGCTCCTAGCTGCCGGGGGAAACTGAGGCCCGCCTGGGGAGGAGCCATGTGGCCCAGAACCTCGGGGGCTCGCTGGGCTACAGGGGAAACTGAGGTCCTTCAGGGGAGGGCTTTGACCCACCAGGCTTGCAGCTGCGAGTGACCTTAGAGAGCATGCAAGCACGGCGCTACACCCGGGGAAACTGAGGCCTCAGAGGGGAGGGGCGCCCCCCCAGGGGCCCTGGAGACGGGGGTCCTCATCTTTCCAAGGTCGCCCCCAGCCTCTCCCCCCCGATCTGAGCCAGTGAACTAGATCAGAACCAGGCTCTGGCCACCCGGAGCTTAACCTCCTGCCGGGCCGTGTGCAGAGGGGTTTGGGGGACCCTCGCTGGGAGGAGCAGACCCCGCCTCTTCCTGGTGCCCGGGGTGGGGGTGGGGACCTTGACCTCAGCCCCCGTGATGCTCGTGCGGAGGCCTGAGGCTCACAGCGGGAGAGGCATAGGATCAGCTGTTGACCAGGAAGGGGCTTGAGGGGTCTGCTGTAGACCCCCCTGCAGAGGGAGGGGAGTCGGAAGCAGACGGGGCCACAGGGGCCATCGGGGCCATCGGCCCGTCTGAACACATACCTACCGATGGCCGTCTGCCTTTGGCTTGAAGTCCTCCAGCATAGGGAAACCCGTTTCCCCCGGAATTTGGGGTCGGAGATTCTTCCTCACCTCAGCCGAGATGTGCATGTCAGCATCTTCCACGGGCGGCTCTTAGCTTCGCTTCCTGGGCCAAGTGGGACGAGTTCAACCCTTCTTCCGCTTGAGGGTCTTCAGATAAGTCAAGACATCTGATCCCGAGGTCCCTAGGTCTTGGGCATCGGCCGAAGGGATCTCGCCTCCCCTCGGCAGAGATGAAATGAGCTCTTGGAGTGCAGAGGCTTCAGACAGGGGTCAAGTGGAAGGAGCCTGTAAGGAAAGTCTGTGTGTCAGGCCTGGCCCTGATGCTTGACCATCTGTGTGACCTCTGCCTTCACCTCAACGGGCCTCAGCTTTATCCCAAGCACAATAAAGGGATTGGGCCTGGGTCATAGATTCTTAATGTGGGGTCCATGAATTTGGTTTTATATGTGTTGATAACTGTTTCAGTATAATTAGTTTCCTTGTAGTCCTGTGTACAGTATTTTATTTTATGCATTTAAAAACACTCCAAGAAGAGGTCTGTAGCTTCCACCAGACTGTCACAAAGAGTCAGTAACACAAAAAAGAAGAATCTGTGGATGCCCCTTCCAGCTCTTAACAGTCTGAGAATGCAGAGAGGGAATGAAAAAATCTTAGATTTGGAGGTAGAAGACCTAGGCTCAAATCATTCCCTGTGTGAACTTTAACTCTGGGCCTCAGTTTCCTCATCTGTGAAATGAAGGCTTTGAACAAAGGATTTCTAACTTTTCTTCTAGCTCTAGGTTCTCTGATCCCCTGAATCAGGTAGGGGGGTCACAAGACTGAGATGAGGTGAAAGCACTGATAAGAAGTTCCTTGTAATATCCCACATAAGGACACTAGGAACTTCACACTTTACAGCTGTCTAGATTTGCCTTTTTACTTGACAAAAATCCCCTTACTGGCCTCCTGATAAATGGGTCTCCAGTCTGTTTAGATGGAGCAGCTGTTTATACCGAGGAACAGGTGGAGGGGAGAGGGCAAGGGCTAAACATTGGGTTCCCACTGTTAGCCGGCCAAGTGTGGGAATTACTTTTAGTAATAACAGGGCAAGTCAGTGGTTTCTAGAAGACACAAGTATTGTGGACTGGATCTCCCTGGGCCTAAGACCTTTAATGAGTAACATGCACCCAAAGCACCCCATTCCTCAGTACCTATTGCCATGGTACCAAGAAGCCCTGATACGTGGGCTATTTGAGCTCTTGAAGTACTGGGAAGGGGCCAGAAGATGGTGGTCCTTTGTACTGAACATCTGGCCCCACTTCTGTAATTGTGGAGACTAGGTAAAGATTGGTGTTGAGCAGGGATGTCCTACAGTCCAGGATTGAAAACTGTGACAGAAGCTGTAAGACTTGAGAGAGAAAGAGTGAGTGTGTGTGTGTGTGTGTGTGTCTATCTATCCATGTCCTTCTGTGTTCTGTATCTGTCTTTCTGTTGATCAGCCAATTGGTCTCTCCCTCACAGGGGCTTTAATTGACGAGAGCCAATCAAACAAAGCCATTTTTTCTGGCTCCTAGAAAGGGTCCAATTTTTGCGGTCTGATTTTTCAAAGGATCCTGGTTTTTTCCTTGTGAATATATGGGAGTGAGATTGTTTCAAGCAGAAAGAAGGGAAATGGGAGAAGTGTAGGAGGGTTCCTAGGCTTTTTGACTTGAGGCACTTTGGGAGCCCTTGGACTAGGCCCTTTCTTCTACCTGAGAGGACTGTGGCAATTTTTTCAGGTCACTTCACTTCTGCTGAAGACTTGAATCTGCTGATTGCCAAAAACACACGGCTGGAGATCTATGTGGTCACCGCAGAGGGGCTGCGGCCTGTTAAGGAGGTGGGCATGTACGGCAAGATTGCTGTTATGGAGCTCTTCCGCCCCAAGGTAAGCACCTCACTGCCTCCAGGCCTCCACCCCATGGACCGGTGGGCAGGCATTAGCCAGCTTCTTGTTTTTAATCACAGTCTGGGAGTGGTCCAGTAGGATAGGAAGACTGGGCCTGAAGCTCTTCTCCCTTTGAAGGGTGAATTCATGCTTGAATGGCCTTGGACCTTGGAAAGACTCTCTTAGAAGAAAAAGGGGCCTTTTGGAAAATTTCTGAATTTCTTTGAGGATGAACTTTAAGTTCTGGATGCCAGATGTCTTTGTCCAACCAGTTACTCATTTTTATGCCTTTTCAATGCCTCCATTAAAGTACTCTTGATAGCTAATCACTTGGGGGAGCGGAGCTTTATGACTGTGTAGAGGTGACCCTGACTTCTCAAAAGCCAGGCCAGTCGAGTGCAAACCCTGGTGAGTCCTACCAAGCCAGAAAGACTTTTAGGAATGAGTCGTGGATAATGCTGTCTAGGAGCCAGCCCTAGAGGCGGCTAGGTGGCACAGTGGATAGAGCTCCCGCCTTGGAGTCAGGAGGACCTGAGTTCAAATCTGGTCTCAGACACTTGACACTTACTAGCTGTGTGACCCTGGGCAAGTCATTTAACCCCATTGCCTAGCCCCCCCCAAAAAAAGTGTTATATAGGAGCCAGCCCTGGTGCTGGCGGTGCCACCCACAGTTAGGAAGTCACTGGTCTGTAAGTCATTCAGGCAGGTTTTCCCAAAAGTGATTTGAGACTGACAAGGAAGCAAAGTGTTAAAGGTTTAAAAAAAGAGAGACTCTTTCCCCTCTGCTCCTTGTTCCTTTTGCTCTGTGTTATGGAAGTGATTTCAAGGCTTCACTTGAAGCATTATTGCTTCCCTTGTGGAATAACCACCTTCCCCTTGTAATTTATAGAGACTTGCTTTTTGTCCTGCCCATCTCTGTGAGCAGTCCTAAAGACAGGAGAAACTGTCCCCTTGCTCAGAATCCCTGTGGCAGACCGAAGCAGACCATGAACATCTAAGGCATTTTGAGGAGGACATCAACCTTCTGTCTATGAGAGCACACTAAAACTCCCAGCATTTCTTGGGAGATTCCAATATTTACTTGGAATTAGTGACCGGAAGCTCAATCCTAATCTTGGTGAAAGTGGGTGCCATTGAAAGTTCTGTACTGACGAGCCTGGAGTCCAGTCCTTTTATGAAGGGGATTTGTTCTGTGAAGTTCAGACGCAGTTAAGGGGCTGCACTTGAGGGCCTAGAGGCCAGAGGCTCCTCACCCCGGGACGAGACCATATGAGACAGGAGGTGGGGGCTAGCATGCTGGCGTTGCAACCATGAAGAGCTGCTTCAGGTCCTGCCTGTGGCACCTACTTCTCTTACTGTGGGCAAGTCATTTCACCTTGCTGTAACTGAGAGAGTTTCCTTATCTGTGCAGTGAGGAGTGTGGACTCTAAGGTCCTTTTCTGTTCTAAATCTCTGAGCCTGTGACGACTCCTGTTCCCCCAAGCTGATCAGCCAGTTATTCAGAGCTTATTTGTAAGTGTATGTAAAATGGGCAGTATAGTCATTTCTGTAACTAGAATAATAGGCATTAATTTAATTCCAGCAATGTGTTTGGAGTGAAACAGAACTCAGGAGAGGGTCTTTAAAATTCACAAATCAGGAAGGAATTGGCTTACCTTTGGGGTAGTTTTGTGGAGGCAGCACGTTTTAAGGGGTAGGAAGAATGAAAATGCATAGCCGTAGAAGTGTACCGAAATGAGAGGAGGAGAGAAAGGAGGCTGGGAAAAAAGAAGAATGCTGGCTTATTAATTTCTTTTCTACTAACTTAGAGCTGTGATCCAAAACCCACTTTCAAGGAGTTTCCAGTCTAATAGAGAAAGGAGAGAAACACAAATAACTGGGATGTACGGGTGAATGTGATCAGTGATATGGAGGGGTCCTGGCAGAATATTTGGAGAATTTGAGGAGGGTGGGCAGGGAGCTCAGAGAAGGCTTCATGTAGTAGGTGGTCCCTGCGTTGGCCCTCAAAGGCAAATGGAGCAATGGGGGGATCTATTCTAGTTAGTGGAGGATGGCATGAACTAAGGCGTAGAGTTGGGAGGGGGCGGGATGGGGGGGGCATTCAGTTCCATTTAATTGGTTCTCAGTGTATACAGGGGAGTGGTTGGCTGGAGCCAAATCGTGAAGGGCCTGGAGCACCAGGTTGAGCCTTTTAGTTTAATTAAGCAGCAGGGAAGTCAGTGAAGGTTTTTGAGTAAGAAAGTGATGTGATTAGAGTGTTAGGATTAGGAAGATTCCTGTGGCAGTGGTATGAAAGCTCGATTGGTGGGGGGGCATAGGGATCAGTGAGGAGGCCACCTTCCAGATGGAAGAGTTATTGCCAAGGCAGAATTCATAGGACTTGGCGGCGGGTTGGAGTTGGTAAAAGAGAGAATAGTCCTAGGGAATGCCAGGTTTATAAGCTTGGGCGACTGAAAGCGTCCTGCGCCATCGGCAGGACTAGAAAAGTTAGAAGAGGTGACGTTGTCAGTCCATTTTGTGAGCAGCTCACAGTCCCTTCAAGCTTGTCGTGTTTGAAATGCCAGAGAAGACACTTAGGCAGTGACGTGCTGACAGAGAAGATCAGGGTCGACGTGTGGATCTGGGAGTTATCTGCCTAGAAAGATGAAGCCATGGGCTCAGAGGCAGTCATCAAAGGCGAGACTGCTGAGAGAGAAGAGAGGGCCAAGGGTAGACTCTGAGGGGTCATCAATATGGGAGGAACAGATGGAAGATAAACCAGCAAAGGAGGTGGAGAGGTGGGAGGATAATCCTGAAAGTGGAAAGGGTAAAAGAGTAAAAAACGGAAGGAATGTCTCTTGTTGGTGCTGAAGAAAACAACAGGAGAGGGGGTCAGTTGACTTAGCGAGCCCTGTGAGCCAAGGGGTAGGAATAGAAGTCAGATTGCAAAGAGTTGAGAAGCAAGCTGAGGAAGTGGAGGGAGCTGTTTCTCAGAGTTTGACAGTGAGTAGAAGAACCAGAAAGGAAATGGTGGTTTCAAGGGTTAGTAGGCCCAAAGGGACCATTTTTTTAGGACAGGGAAGGCGGCCGGAGCATGTTTGTAGACTGGAACAATAATGATATCTCATGTTATGTAGCACTTTTTAAAAAGGAACAATGAGAGGAAGATGCTGAAAATTTGAGAGAGGGTGATTGATAGAGCAGTGGAAAGGGGAATAGAATGGAGGCAGAGGTGAAGGGGGTTAGTTTTGACAACCACACCTGAGGTGGGTCTCCTCTGCCTCTAAGGTTTGAAGCAAGGACTGAGTGTAGATTATGACATCGAGAGGTTTGGAGCATCAGGAAGAGGAGTGAGGCCAGTGGTCTCAGTCATCTCAAGGCTGTGTAAGATCTCGGAGGTGCAGTTAAGGGTTGAGGGCAGAAGAGAAGATTTAGAACAGCCGTTCTGGAAAATGAGAGAATCAGCAAGAAATAAGTCACAGGATTTCCATCCAACAATTGACACTCAGTTTGAGGTAGCAGACACATTCGGCCCACTTATGGTATTTCTTCTAGTAACATTTGCTTGAGAGCAGAGATGAATGATAGGAGCCACCCTGGGAAATGGGGAAAGGTCAAAGGGGACCAGGGATTCCTAAGTGGGAGACGGGGCATCATTGAAATGGTTGAGTATGGGGCCAGACATGACAAAAGAAAGGAAGAAAATCAAAACAGGGTTGATGAGTTGGAGAACACAGAGGAATAAAGGAAATGAAGCTTGTAACGAGAATGAAAAGCAGGTATGGAAAGAGCAAGGGAATGAAGTAGGAGAACAAGAGAGATTTAGTTAGGAGAATTTCAGAGTTCAGGATCTCAGTGGTGGAGCATTCTGGGGGATGAGGATGGCATCACCACCCTGGTGAGTAGCTGAATCCATTAGCCAAGGAGTTGTAGGAACTCAGTGTGAAGTCATTGTCAGGAAAGAGCGCTAGAGGGGCTGTCATTGTGAATGCTGGCATTTTCAAGGATGGTGGCAAGGGAGGGGTTGGGGGAAAAGATTGCGTGTCAGACGCCATATCATGGGAAAAGGTGGGTGGGTGGGCCTTGGAGGTTGCCGTGGGACAGCAGCAAGTCCTTGGCTAATGTAATATAGTTGGATGGCATGGTTTTTAAGCTCTGGTGTCTGAAAAAGTTTCTGGTAGTGGGCATGGGGAGCAAGGACTAGGCCATCTGTAAGATGGGAGGGATGGGGAAGGGAGCAGCCAGTATTGGAAAAGGCTGCTTTTGCTCTGGAGTCCAGATTTGAGTACTTGTATATAGAAACTGGGAGGGATGCAGTTAGCTGAGACTTCTGTTGCAACCTTCAGTGAGTTTACAAATTAGTAGAAGAGATAAGACAAATACAGAGATACCGTTAATACCTGTCAGGATGCGATCAGTGCCATATGAGAGGCGTGCATGGGAGTAAGTATGGTTTGGGAAAAGAAGACGGAATGAGAGAGCAGGGTTAGGGTTAGAGTGACAGTGAGGCCCAGGTCCTTTGTGCGTCTCCACAGAGGCTGATGTTACCCTGTGTGTGACTGAGAACCCCTTCCTGAGAGAGGACTTTGGAATCTGGTCATTTCACTTCTTATGTTATTTGAAGGACAGTTCAAATCCAGCATCCCTATCCAAGAAAGAAAGTCTTCTGATGACATGGTTGGTTTCTAGGGGGAGAGCAAGGACCTTCTCTTCATCCTGACAGCCAAATACAACGCCTGCATCCTGGAGTATAAGCAGAGTGGGGAGAGCATTGACATCATCACCCGAGCTCATGGCAACGTCCAGGTGAGGGGAAGCCCCAGGAAGCTGGGCTGCGTCATAGATCAGGGACGCTTATCTGTTCATGAAGAACTTACTGTGAAATTTGGGGATTGTTAAAACTGGACTATAGGGAGTTGAATTGGACCCTGCCTTTGAAAGAAATAAATTATTGGATGCTACATTATTGGCTGAGAAAAATTAAGGTAATTGGGAAAGTTCCTCTGTGGTCAGAGAAACCACCGTGGACTACACTGCTATGGAAAGGAGAGCTGTCTTCCTTTATTTCCTTCCCTCGTCCTTGGGAGTCTGAAGAATGGGGAACTCGTGTCTGTGAACTGCAGTCCTTTACCAGAGAGTTGAGCCGTTGATAAAAGTGAACCTAAGTAACAACCCCTTGGGCTTCCAGGCCTGTTCTGACCAGTAGGTAGCCCCAGCATCTCCGGATGTCACAGAGGCTAGAAAGCGGTGCCCTGTGCCCAGTGCCCTCTGCCGAGACCCATCACTGAATCTTCTTTTTAGGATCGGATCGGCCGTCCCTCTGAGACTGGGATTATCGGCATCATTGATCCCGAGTGCCGGATGATTGGCTTGCGCCTCTACGATGGCCTCTTCAAAGTTATCCCTCTGGACCGCGACAACAAAGAGTTGAAGGCCTTCAACATTCGTCTGGAGGAGCTGCAAGTAATTGATGTCAAGTTCCTGTATGGTTGCCAGGCCCCCACCATCTGCTTTGTCTACCAGGTGATGCCTGGGGAGGGGTGGGGAGAAGCAGCTTGGTCCTGGTCTGTAAGGGGCTGCTTATCGATGGGCAGAATATCCGGATTGAGTAGGGAGAGGTGCTTACAGTATGCTGGGTCCCTGCCTGGGGAGCGGATCATAGCGTGGAGGTGAAAAGGGGTTTGGGGGAGGGCTTCCTAGGTTCTGCTGCTACACTCTGGTAGTTTCTCTTTGGAAAGAGTGTAAGGTGACCTAATCTGTCTTTATTTCTGAAGAACTTTCGACTCGAGTATGTTTGCAGCTCATTGAGGCTTGACTCTAGAGAAGTGGTCTGGAGATTGCCTCTGAAAGGAAAGATATACGTTTTCAGATGGCATTAGCTGGGACAAAGTTCCCGTCCAGCTCATTGTTTACCTTCTGTGAGATTTCATTCAGAAATCATTGTCCACATCCCAGGTTTGTCCTTTGGGCTGTGAAGGGGGCCATCGGGTCGACCAGCAGACCCCTTTGCTACTTCTGTGAAGCCCAATGTGTAGAGTTTGAAGGACGTAGTCACACTTCTGGCCTAGGGCAGTGCTGGCCTGGCGCACTGGGTCCTGCTCAGGTACTTGGGATATTTTGGGAGGACGAGCTGGTGCGTGGAGATCCTGCTGTGTCCCGAGAGCCTTTCGATCACTTGATTGTCAGCAGAGCCGTAGGTCTCTGGACCTGGTAACTGGTTGGAAGAAAGTTGAAACTTGGGTAGGAGAACTCGACCTACATATTCTGGATCTACTCATGTTGAATTAGTTCTTAGAAGATGGCAATGCAAGTCCCCTTCTTCTCTTCTTTCTCCACCTTTATAAAAGTCAGGCTGTTGGAGCTCGGCTATCACTGGGTAGGTAGATACCATTAGTTCAGACTGCTCCTGGAGACTTTGGAAGGTTCTTGGCGCCCCCCCTAGAGGCAGACCTTTTGTTTCCCAGATACACACGTCCAGAACAAGCCTGAGCCATTGGAAAGAGTCCTGCTTGCCATGTCTTGTGTTAGAGATTATTTCCATTAGATCCAGTATTGGCCCCTTTCCTCTTGACTTTAAAGACCTTGAAGTACAAGGGCTGCACTCCATGAGAAAGTTCATCCTTAAATTTATAGGATCTGTGAGCTTAGAGGGGGCATGGCCTTCTCGCTTCTTTCTTTTTTTATTTCTTTTTTTAATTTTTAATTTTTTCACTCCTTTCTCAAAGCCGCCTCATACTGCGCTACACTCTGAGGGTGAGCTCACCTTCAAATCCACCTTGGCAGCCACCTTAAGGGCCTGGAGGTCAGGGCCATGGTCACGTCCAGCAGTTGCTTGGAGTCCCAGTTTCTCCCCAGGCTGACTGGCTGAGTGACCCAGAGAGGGGAGAGCAGGTCACCATTAGCACATGCCAGAAATGGGGTGGGAGGTGATTCAGGGTGATGGTTAGGATGCCGTCAAGGCCAAGGTTTGGGATTTACTTCTGTTTGCTGTGAGCGCCATCACCCAACAGAATGTTCTGTAAAAATTGTTGTGTGCCCACCATCCGCTGTTGTGTGGTGGTGTTCTTAAAGATAAGCTGTGAGTTTATAGCTGGAGTTATGTGTGAAGGCACTTGGTGAATTGTTGTTGATTGGCTGCTGTGTGAGGGTGAGCAGGGACAGAGCCTGAGGCCAAAGGGTCAGCCTTGACTTACCTGCCCTCCGCTAGCAGTGACCGGTGGACTGGCTGGCTAAAGGTGACCCTGACTATAGTCTTCGGCCAGTGGCGCTGGTCTGTTTCTTCCTGCTGACCAGCACTGATGCCCCTTCTTCCCCATGCTTAACATTCCACCTTTTCCTGAGGCCAGGACCCCCAGGGACGGCATGTCAAGACCTACGAAGTGTCTCTTCGAGAGAAGGAGTTCAATAAAGGCCCTTGGAAGCAGGAAAATGTGGAGGCGGAAGCTTCAATGGTGATTGCAGGTTGGTTAGCTTTGTGGTTTTAAGGAGATCTGCTTTCTCCTCGTTCCATCTGTCATTTTGCTTGATCTTGTCCCTTGCCTGCCTTTACAATATCACTGGAAGCAGGTGTGTGTTATGGCACTTACTATCATTGCCAGTTTTTTTTTTTTTCCCCAGTTCTCCTTGGCAGGTGTAAGGGAAAGAGCATGGCCTGGAGTTAAGAGACCAGCTCTCGTTTTCTGTCTGTCTCTTCTAGCTGTGTGACCTGAGGCAAATCACTCATCCCTTCTAGTAAAGGAGAGTGGTCATGAGAGTCCCCAGCCTCACAGGAGAGTACTCTCTGCACTTGAGTTATTTGTAGAGAGGCACCATGGCCTGAGGGATGGAAGGCCAGTCTTAGAATCCAGAAGCCCAAGGGTTTCAGTCTTTCCTCTGACACATGCTGGCATGTGGCCGTGGGCAATGACCCTGGGCAAATGGCTTAACGTTTTCTAAGAGTGTGAGTTATAGATAAGTCGTTGATCTGCCCTGGGCGGGAGGGTCTGCACACCAGAGGTCTCCACTTGGATGAAGTCACAGGTCTGGGCTGCTCAAAAAAAAAATGATAATTGTCTTATGTTTTAGATGGATTTGAGTATTTTAATCTTATTGTTCCTTCCATCACCACCCCTTCCTTCCCATCTTTTGTCTCTAGTCTTTGGGGCTGATTTTCCAGGGTGTCTAATGGAAATCACTTGCAAAGTTATGTGTCACCAACTTTTAGGCCTGGGAGGGAGGGGAGCTTAAATGTTCCTTTGTTGTATAGCTGAGGAAGCTTAAGGCCCAGAGAGTTTGTGACTTGCCCAAGGTCACATAGCAGGCTACAGGGAGAGAGAGTCAGGTCTAGATCCTGTCTGGATAAGGGTCCAGTGTTGGCATTCTCTGCGTAGGCTTGCCCTAACCAGTGCCATTTTGCGGTGGCATCATTAACCACTTGCAGCCAACTCTGGTCAAACCGTGGAGTCCTGTTAGTGACATGTTTGCCAACTGCCCGTTTTTCACATGGGTGCTATTGCTTGTATGCAGCTACCTACCTTCTGTAACTTTGTTTACTGGGCACTCTGCCCTTTGGCCCTGCCCCTCACGTCACCGAGAAGGTTTCATGGCGATAGAGTTGGAAGGAACCTTGGTGTCTCCCTAGTCTGGTGCCCTCTTTTAACAGCGCGTTAGAGCCTCCAGTGTTGGTTCTGATCCTCTGTAAGGAAAAACTGAGCAGGGATTGAATGAGGAGTGGGGGAGACTGGAAGAACTAGGGACAAAGGTTTAAAAATGGCTGGTGTTCAGGAGAGAAAATTGGGAGGGAGGAACAATTCAAGGGCAGTTCTCGCTTCTTGAAAAGCTCTAAGGAAGCCAAGAGGAAAGAGAGGGTTCCTTGCTGAGGTGAGGTCAGGTCTGATCAAGTCCTAAGAGTACACCTCACGGAAATCCCCTCTGTTCACTTTCCTCTCTTTAAGTGGGGAGGATGCTAATCCTTGATCCGAGAAAACCGGGGGCTCGTTATAAAGCTTCCTCCTTGCTCTTTTGCAGTGCCCGAGCCTTTTGGAGGTGCAATCATTATTGGCCAAGAATCCATCACCTATCACAATGGCGATAAGTACCTGGCCATTGCCCCTCCCATCATCAAGGTGAGATTCCTGCTTCCTCTTCCTAGGCCTTGCCCTTCTGCCGTTCTGAGATTAGAGTGTGGAGGTGGACAGTCCCCTGTTTGTTATCTGCCACAGATGCTTTTGTAAGGCTCTGGAGCCTGCCATCAGAAACCTTACAGATTAATGAGGGGCAGGTATACCTATGAAAGAGAAGCTTTCACCCACTAGCAGTAACATTTATTGCATGAAATAGCTGAATGTATTGAGTAGAAGTTAATATCCTTGGGGCTCATGTAGAGAAGAAGACCAAAGTTTTATAGCTCCTTTTAAAGTAAAAGAAAAATCTACATTCATTATAGAAGGAAAAATTACACAGTTTTCTTCATTTTTTGGTGGGTGAAAATACCTAGCATAAAAGCCCTGCCCTAGTAGCATTCACCTGGATGTGAGAATTCACCTGAGCTGCCTTCATTTATATCCATACCATGCCGAAAATAACTGCCCCCACCCTTCTATGTCCCAGAAGACACTGAGGGCTCTCCATGTGTAACATTTTTCCTATCTCATTCCTTTATCTCGTGTGCATTCCAGGCACCCAGGTCTCTATGTTGTCAGCCAAAGGCATCCTGGGGCTTTCTTGGTTCCTTCTGATAAAATGGTGAGGCCCACCTAGTAAAGGGAGCAGCCTCCTGGGGTTCACTCCCTGCTGTGAGACAGAAGCCACTTCCCTAATTACTTTTCCTTCCGTGGGGGCAGCAAAGCACAATTGTGTGCCACAATCGAGTCGATCCAAATGGTTCCCGATACCTGCTTGGAGACATGGAAGGCCGTCTCTTCATGCTGCTTCTAGAGAAGGAGGAGCAGATGGACGGCACAGTGACCTTGAAGGACCTTCGGGTGGAACTTCTCGGAGAGGTGATGCTTGTCCCTGGCTCTTTGTACTTCTTTGCTCGGCGGCGTTCAAGGGGCAGCCGTGCCAGGCCATCAGAAGCTGTGTCACTTTCTCTGTAGCCTCCCTGTCCAGTAGCAACAACCTCTTGGTTGTTTTATTGAGAAGTGAATTTTGGCTTTTTAGAAAATCTCAGTCAGGTGAGCAGTGGACCTTATGCACAAAGATGAGGGGTGAGCAAGAAATGGGGCGCGTGTTGAAAACAGCAGGGAAATCCCTTGGTCGTGGCGCGGGGGGAGGTTCCTGGCGGTGGAGTCTGAGAGGGCCGTGTTTATCCCTGGAAGGATGGGAACCTGAGGTGTGGCACTGCGGAGGGCTGACTGTTGTGGAAAGCTGGACAGGGCGGTGGTACCTCGAAGATCAGTTGTAGACGTTGTAGGTGCGGACTCACAGACATCAGAGATTTTGAAGCCTCGGTTTAGATTGCCTCTGATTCACTGTGACACAGACTTGGTGCTCCCAAGGCTGCTCTGGCACATGGACAGTTTGGGGGGAGGCAGCAGCTGCTCCCCCACGGGGTCTCCTGCAAGTCGTGTTTCCTCCTAGACCTCCATCGCCGAGTGCTTGACATACCTGGACAATGGGGTTGTGTTTGTTGGCTCCCGCCTTGGCGACTCGCAGCTTGTAAAGGTGAGTCCCGTCTTCCTCCTTCCTCCTCCTCCTCACTCCTTGGCCTCTCTTCGTCATCACTTTGCCTTGCTGAGTTCTTTGTCATAGAGATTAAGAACAAGGCAGTAAAGTTTCAGACTAGATGAGACTCTTCCTTTCAGCACTCTCCATTCCAACTGTCCCTGTGCTGTCGATCCATAGGCAGAGTTGGCAGATTCCAAGGCTCAAGGAAAGATCAGAAGCTTTGTATTTTCTTTCAGCTTGAGCAGATGGGATAGCTTTGGAGGTTCATTAAACAAGTTCCCTGTTTGTTTACTTTCAGCTCAACGTAGACAGCAATGAGCAAGGCTCCTACGTTGTGGCCATGGAGACCTTTACCAATCTGGGTCCCATTGTGGACATGTGTGTTGTGGACCTGGAGAGGCAGGGGCAGGGCCAGGTAAGACTGGGGACGTGGGGTGGCGGGGGGTGGTGTGTGAAATCTGCCCACTCAACCTGTGTGTTCTTCTTTTTTTGGCTGGGGAGGACAAGAGTCCGGGGGGGAGCACTATAAATCTTTTTTTAAATAGATTTTTATTGTTCTCTTCCATTTTGACATTGACTGCATTTCCCCTCGATTCTTCTTCGTCTCTCCTCTGAGAGCCACCTCTTATAACAAAGACCTAAAAAAAGAGTAGGCAGGGAGGAGTCTCACATCCTCTTTGAGGGCCAGCTTGGTCTTCATAATCACTGCAGCTGTTTGGTAGTCCTCCTTTCCTTTTGCGTTGTTAGAGTCTTTGGGTGTGTGTTGGTTTTCTGGCTCTGCTCGATTGACTTTGCATCAGTTCGTGTCCGTCTTTTTGTGCTTTTCTGTTTTTGTCACGGTCATTGTTTCGTGTGGCCCAGTGATGTGTCAAAGTTTGGTTAGGCCTTCCCCAGTCTCTCCTTTGCTTCTTCTTTGCTACACCATGAAGTACTTCTGCAAATAAGCATTTTGATGTAGAGGAAACCTTTCTGTTCCGCAGACCCTCACCCAACACACCAGGGTTCTAAAGGTGCCTGCTCGAGGCCCTGATACTTCCTGGCTTTGTGTCAGGCTGTCGCCAGGCAGCCGAGTGTCCTCCTCTAGACTAGTGTTGAAAATGAGACGCCCTCGGCTAAAGGGCAGTTGTTACCCTATTTATATTTGGGTATCAGTATGGTGGTCTTAGAGTTGTAACCAAGGCAGAGGTCTCGGGACTTTGTTCCTTGGCACCAAAAATATTACAGAATTGGTTACGTTTACATTTTGATACGATCTCCACTACTTAAGCACCTCAGAATTAGGGTTAGGGATGCTAAGTTAGTAAGCTTCCAAGTGGTCCGTTTCCTTCAGGCCCTTGGCTGCACATCTTGGGATGGTAGCCTTTACAGGTTGTCTCAGGCCTTCTTCCTGAGTAATCATAGGGACGGATTGCTGCCTGCCCCTGGAGCAAAATTGCTGGTTGTGACTTTGATCTGAGTTCCTGAGGGCATCAGTAACCATCTCTATCTGTCTGTATTCAGCTGGTCACCTGTTCTGGGGCCTTTAAGGAAGGCTCCTTGCGTATCATCCGGAATGGGATCGGGATCCATGAACATGCCAGCATTGACCTGCCGGGCATCAAAGGTATGGTATCCTGTGCCTCGGTGGGGGAGAGCGTCCAGAGGAAGGCAGGCTCGAGGGTGGTGCGGGGCCTCAGCCTGGGCTGCTGAGGAGAGGAGACTTTGAGGGAACGTTCGAATTGTCTTCAAGTGTTTGAAGGATGTTCTCTTAGAAGAGTGATTATTCTGGTTTGCTTGATACACAATGAGCAGAAGTTAGGAGGAGGACAGTTTAATCTGTGCGTCAGGAGAGTGGCCTGGAAAGGCCCAAGAGGCAGGCCTGCTCCCTGGAGGCCTTGTGGGAAGGCTGGTGACTCCACATTGAGGATGTTGCAGAGAAAATGCTTTTTCAGGAGTAGATGCCCCTTCCACCTCTGAGACTGTGATGTGGACGGTGTGGGGTGGATTTGGTCTGGTTGCTGCCTGGGTGTGCTCTGTTCTCGAAGCCAGAGGAGAGCATAGCACATGGGGAGTCTGGGCGTCCCGGGGGGGAGCCGAGGGTTGGAGTCCTTGAGGGCGACGTCCTGATGCCTCAATCTTCCTCCTCCTAGGCTTATGGCCTCTCAGGTCCGACTCTAGCCGAGAAACCGATGACACCTTGGTGCTGTCCTTCGTGGGCCAGACGAGGTAAGGACGGTCCTGGCCCTGGGGAGCAGGCGGCCCCGCTTCTCAGGCAGGCCTTTAGGGATGCGGGCTCTCCATCTCTTGGCAGAGTTCTGATGTTGAATGGCGAGGAGGTGGAGGAGACAGAGCTGACCGGCTTTGTGGACGACCAGCAGACTTTCTTCTGTGGAAATGTGGCTCATCAGCAGCTGATCCAGGTGACTGCCTGGCCATGGGCCACCCCCCCCCCCCATACAGAGCACAGTCAGGGGGCTGCTGCTGCTGGGGACACACCTGCAGCTCTAGACACTTTTACCCTTTGGGGCCTACCATTTACTGTCTTCTGACCCTCATTGTTAATCTTCGAGGGTTCCCTTATAGGTGTTGGCCATGCCAGCTTCTGACCCGGAGTGCTTTGAGTCACCTTTCCTGAAAAGCCTGAAGTTTTTCCAGGCTCTATCACGAGGGCATTGGGGCAGGGACTATAGAATTTGCCCCAGCCCCTCCTGCCCACCTTCTCCACTGTTCTTCACCTTGACCTGAACACAAAGTAAGTGGGTTGCTCTTGCTGGTGTCAGCCTTGGGTGCCTGAATGTTCAGATCCTGGCCTCCAACCCTTCCCATGTTATTGTTCCAGCTCAGTTCAAGTGGCTGGCTGTATAGAACTTACTCGAGAGGCAGCTGGTGGCTCGGGATAGCGCTGTGAGCCTGGCATCAGCCTGAGGCACTCCCTAGCCATGTGATCCAGGGCAAGTCACTTAAGCTGTGCTTGCCGCAGTTTCCCCAGCTATAAACTGAGGCTAATAATAGTCCCTCCCTCTCAGAATTGTTTTGAAGACAAATGGTCAATACCTTTGTATTAACTTTGTAAACCTTGTGGCACTGTGTAAATGCTAGCTGTTTTTATTCTTATCATTATGAGAACTGGCAGAGTGCTTCCTCAGTGGCTGGGCCAAGCCTGGGACAGCAGGGGAGGCCAGACTGGGTGAGGCTTCATGGGCCTCCTCTGCGCCCGGCCACCTTATCGCTGTCCTCCTGCTGGTGCTTTGTATGAGCCAGATAATACAGGGAGTCATAGTCTTTCTCACTACTCTTGTGTCACTTTGCTGTCTCGGCTCTATTTGGGGATGCTCCATTTAATACGACTGAAGAATCGCAGTGCCATAACGGCTCTGAGGCTATTGAGAGGGACCCAGAACTCACAGTTGTAGGAACTTGTTATTTAGCTTGGAAAAGATGTAAGGGAGTTCTAACCGTTGTCTTTAAGTATTTTAAGAGCCGTCTTCTGAAAGAGGGATTAATTTGACTCAGTCCTGAGTGGCTCCAGGGAAGGCCCTGTGGTCTGTCTGGAACTAGACGATCAGGCTTCACTTGTGACCCCCCATGACCCTGGGCAAGTCCCTTCCTCCTATCTAGAAGAAGGCGATTGGAGGAAGAAGGTCTCTGAGGTCTGTTAGAAATCTGGTATTGAGTATCCAGTGCTCTTAGGAGAAGAATAAAACTGCCATTGGTCGATAGAAGCTACAGAAAGCAGGTTTTAATTCAGTTTAAAGAGGCATTTTCTACCAGTCACAGAACTCCAAAGCTATCCGAGATGGGTGTTTGTTAGGGAGTTCCCTGTCACTGGAAGTGTTGAAGCAGATGCTGAGCGGGCCCTTGGGCACCACAGATGGGGAGAGAGGCCGTGGCACAAGAAAGGCCCTTCAGTCCTCTCTGCCGCAGACTAGCTGTACGGCTCTCAGGACGCCGTGCCCTCGTTTTATCAGAGCAGAGCGTGACATCTGCCGTCCCTGTCTCGTGAAGCTGTTGGGAGGATAAGATGGAGTAAAAAAGTGATGCTGATTAAATGGAGCTCTATTATTAATACTTTTTTTTAGAATAATGCTTTACTTTTCCCTAGTTACATGTAAAGACAATTTTAAACATTCACTTAAAAAAGAATTTGAGTTCCAAATTTTCTTTCTCCCTCCTTATCTTCCCCTCTCCCTGAGACGGTAAGCAATTTGGCGTTGGTTATACATGTTCAATCGCACAAACATAGTACAATATTTGTCATGTTGTAAAAGAAGACAAACAGAAAGGAAAAACAAAGTACAGCAAGTGAAAATAGTGTGCTTCGACCTGCGTTCAGACTCCATCAGTTCTTTCTCTGGAGGTGGATCGCATTTTTCATCAGGTGTCTTTTGAAATTGTCTTGGGTCATTGTATTGCTGACAATAGCTCAGTCATTCACAGCTGACCATCATACAGTATTGATGCTACCCTGTACAGTGTTCTCCTCCTTCTGTTCATTTCATTTTGCGTCAGTCCACATAAGTCTTTCCAGGTTTTTCTGAAATCCACCTGCTCATCATTTCTTAAAACACAGTGATATTTCATTACAAGCATCACAGCTTGTTCAGCCATTCTCCAATTGGTAGGCATTCCCTCAATTTCCAATTCTTTGCCATCATAAAAAAAAGGTGCTCTAAATGTTTTTGTACATGTGGGTCCTTTCTCCACTTTTTTTTTTTAATCTCTTTGGGGTACAGTCATGTTACTGAGACTTTTATGTACTGTATGGAGGTGATGACTCGAACTCCAAATGCCTTTCCACTTAATGAGATTGTACACTTCCTTTATATTTAGCTTCCTGGAAACTTGATTTAAATCATTCTCCTTCACAATTTCCCCTGTTATGGCAACCCATTGATGGACTGTTGGGAAGTGTTTATCAAGGAAGAGGAGTCCTGGACAGAGCCTGGGCTGCTTCTCAGGGATCTCCCCTCTGCTTCTGTCTAGATCACCTCTGCCTCTGTGCGGCTTGTTAGCCAGGAGCCCAAAGCCTTAGTGAGTGAATGGAAGGAGCCTCAGGGCAAGAACATCAGTGTGGCCTCCTGTAACAGCAGCCAGGTGGTGGTGGCTGTGGGCAGGGCCCTCTACTACCTGCAGATTCATCCTCAGGAACTCAGGCAGATAAGGTACCGATTTGGCCTCCTTCCTCCCCGTGCCTGGCCCTGCTCTGAGGCCCAGGCACCCTCATCTGAGGTCTTCCTTTTCTCTTTAGCCATACAGAGATGGAGCATGAGGTGGCGTGCTTGGACATCACCCCGCTGGGGGACAGCAACGGAATGTCTCCCCTCTGTGCTATCGGCCTCTGGACCGACATCTCGGCCCGCATCTTGAAGCTTCCCTCTTTTGAGCTCTTGCACAAGGAGATGCTCGGGGGAGGTAGGTGGCTGCTGCTTGGGAGCCTGGGTTCTGGCTGGGTTTACTGTGCTGCGTGACGACCTGCCGTCTCCCCTTGTGTGTGGCAGAGATCATTCCTCGGTCCATCCTGATGACCACCTTTGAGAGCAGCCACTACCTCCTCTGCGCCTTGGGCGATGGCGCCCTCTTCTACTTCGGACTCAGCATTGAGACAGGTCAGTGTGGGGGCCGGGCAGGACCCCTCCCTTCTGCGCCTCGGTGGGACTGCCCGGAAATGTTGGGGATGTCCCTTTTCTGACCCCTGTGTCTTCCCTCCCCCCCACCCCCCTTCTGTGGAATTCTGCAAATCAAGGTTACCAGACCTCTGTCTGGAGGGACCCTTAGAGACCGTCGGGTCTGATCCTTCGTTTCTGGGGCCTGGGCCTGATGCCGTTCTGCCCTCTAGGCTTGTTGAGTGACCGGAAGAAGGTGACTCTCGGGACACAGCCCACGGTGCTGAGGACATTTCGCTCCCTCTCCACCACCAATGTCTTTGCTTGTTCTGACCGTCCCACCGTCATCTACAGCAGCAATCACAAGTTAGTTTTCTCCAACGTCAACCTCAAGGAGGTCAACTACATGTGTCCCCTCAACTCCGACGGCTACCCTGACAGGTGAGCACGGCCGAGGGAGGGCGGAGTTCGGCCGAGGGAGGGCAGAGTTCGGCTTGGCGCTCGTTGCTCCTCTGTGACGGGGCTCGGTCCTTGAAGTCTGGATCTAAGCCGAGCTCTTTCCCTCCAGCTTGGCATTGGCCAACAATAGCACCCTCACCATCGGCACCATCGACGAAATTCAGAAGCTGCACATCCGCACTGTGCCTCTCTACGAGTCTCCAAGGTGAGCTGTCCGCAGCAGGTCCCCGTAGCAGCCTCCTGTCTCCTCCTCCTCCTTGCCGGCCATCTTTGCCAGATCTCTGTTGTTTTTGTTCTCCTTAAAAAACCTCCACACAGAAAGATTTGCTACCAGGAAGTGTCGCAGTGCTTTGGGGTCCTCTCGAGTCGGATCGAGGTGCAGGACGCCAGCGGAGGGACGACGGCCCTGCGGCCCAGCGCCAGCACCCAGGTCAGTTCCCCGGGGGGCGGGGCAGGCTGGTGGGCCGGCCACATCCCGCTTGGGGCACGGACCAGTCTGCTCTGCAGCAGCAGTTGTTCTCTTTCCCTCTAAATTCTTCCATGCACTCGGGCTGAAGGGCTGGCTTCTTGTGTGCCTTGGCAGCGGGCCCCAGAAGCAGCCTTGCTCCTCTGGCCCCTGTTCTTCGGCTCTCCTCAGTGCTTCCAGGCTTAGCTGTCCTCACCCGGGGGTGGGGGCAGGGGTGGGGCAGGGCAGGGCTGCATGACAAGGCCTAACCAGATCGTCTGGGCCCCCAGGCCTTGTCCAGCAGCGTCAGTTCCAGCAAGCTGTTCTCCAGCAGCACAGCCCCTCATGAGACTTCCTTTGGAGAAGAGGTCGAGGTGCACAACCTCCTCATCATTGACCAGCACACCTTTGAAGGTGGGGCCTGAGCACCAGGCGGTGGGCATCCCCGGATGGGGGGGAGAGGGAGGCAGTACAGACCCTGCCCATTCATCCCACGTCAGAGTGAACACGGGCCACTTCAGACACGGAAACGAGGGAAGGTGGGGGAAGGTAGAAATGAAAGTCCTTGCTCCCTTGCTGTGAGGACGTCTCCTCCCCGCGTGTCTGTTGTGGCCGTATGTCCTCACCTCTCTTCGGTGGCCCTGGCTCTCTCCTGGTCTAGCCCGTCCTCTCACGGGCCAGTCTGGGGCTGCCTCACGAGAAGACGTGTGCCGCAAGGTGAGAGGGGTTAACCTCTTCTGTCCTAGTGCTCCATGCCCACCAGTTCCTACAGAACGAGTATGCTCTCAGCCTGGTCTCCTGCAAGCTCGGCAAAGACCCCAACACGTACTTCATCGTGGGCACGGCCATGGTGTACCCTGAAGAGGCTGAACCCAAGCAGGGTCGGATTGTCGTTTTCCAGTACTCAGATGGTGAGTTCACTTCTCCAGCTCCTAGGAGACAAGGCCCTGGAAAAGCAAGTGGTTTCAGGTTTCTGAAGGGTGGGAGAAGCCTCCGAGGCAGCACGTGGCTCGTCGCCAGCCCAGGTGTGCCCTGATGGGGCTTCAGGGAGGCCTGCCAAGCAGGACGTGCTCTCCCTGCTCCCTTCTGTTTCTTCTGCTTCTCATTATTTTCTCTTTTGAAAGCTGGGGATTTTATTGGGGGGGCAGGGCTGGGAGAGCATAGGAGTAAGATGGAGAGGGAAAGGGAGCACGAGCCATGGGAAGGGACTGGAAGTCAGGGACATCCTTTCCTTTAAGGCTGGGACCTACTGAGTCTTGTTTCTCAACCATCACTATCCCTCAGCCTTCTCCATCCATAAAATGGGGAGAACATTCGTCACTGGTGACTGGGCTCTAAAGATGAGTCTTGGAGTTGAAAGGCCCTTCAAAGGCGGTGGAGTCCAGCGTGGAGTGTCTTCATTGGGTCGGTCGGGAGGTCATTCTCATTTCTTCTTGCACCACGGTGCCTAGAGCACCGGGTCCATTGCTCCCTGGTCTCTCTCGGAGGGGTGGGAGATGAACTCTGAAAGCCGTCAGAAACGAGGCCAAGTCCTCGCTGTGTCTGGATCACTGAACTTTGTCAGACTGCTAGGGTCCCCACCAGAGAGAGCTACCGGACAGAGAAAGAGCGCACTTTCCAAGGGATTGGACAGATGTTGATTTTATCAGTTCCTCTCAGGAGGAAGTGGGCATGAGAGCCATGCTCTGTCTCCCTGGATTAGCAGCCGTTTTGTGATGAGGCGCTCGATGCAGTTTGGATCACCACTTCCTAGATAGCGTGCTGAGCCGGACAGATGACCTGCCTTCTGCGGGAGGTCTCGCTCCACTTAGCATCCTGTGTGGGGGCTTTCTCCCCACGTGGAGGTACCGCAGAGTCTGACTTGTGACTCTGGCGTTGACGCAGGCCGAAGGTGCCACTCAGCCAGAATTCCTTTTGCGTCTGACACGGCAGCAAGCTCTGTGATTGGTTCAATGTGACCGATGCACATCTTGCTGGTCAGAAGTGGACTCTTCCTCCTGTGAGCTCGTCTAAAACACACGACTTTTCATAACTCTCTCTCGTGCCTTTGTCCTTTCCTGTTTTATGGTGTAGTTGGGCATACACATACTCCATATCCCCCACTAGATGGTAGGCACCTTGAGGGCAGGACCTGTGTCTTACTTGTCTGTGTATCTTCCCCAGTGCCTAGTATGTGCCTGGTGTAGAATACCATGTCCCCTTGCACCCAGTGTAGCTTCCCGTTTCTCCCGTGGCCAGCTCTGTGAATGGATAGTGCGGTGTCAGACCTCTTGGACCTCCTCACTGCCGGGAGTGCTGCTGCTCACCCACCCCAGGCTGGGATGAGAGAGCTGGGCGGAGAATGAGAGAATCACCCCGGCGAGAGCGGGTGGGGGGGGGAGGAACGAATGAGTGCAGATGATGACGGAAGGACGTAATCTTTCCTTCCCAGGCAAACTCCAGACTGTGGCTGAGAAGGAGGTAAAAGGTGCTGTGTACTCTATGGTGGAATTCAACGGGAAGCTGTTGGCCAGCATCAACAGTACGGTGAGCCTCTTCCTCTGGTCTGATGGATTCTTTAATCTTGGACACGTGCACCCCGCATTTGGACGGGGGTGTTAGTCAGTGGGTGTGTATTGAAGTTCCACTTTGTGCAGAATCCCCTAAGCAGTTACAAGGAGGAAATGAAGTACCGGGCCTGCTGTTGAAGACTCTTCAGAGAGGAAACAGCAGACTTTTGTGAGAAGGTTCTCAGGCAGAAGCATAAGGACTGGGGCCTAATGAATTCTGGCTCCTCCAGGGTGGAGCCAGAGTGATTCAGGGTGGATAAGATTGTGTGGCATTGATCAGGGAGCACCAGAGCTTTAGTTCACATATTTAACGTTAGATTTCATCTCTCTAGAGTCAGCCTAGCTCTTTGTGTTCAGCTCGGGCTCCCGAGCTTATGTCTGGGAAAGGGCCTGGGTTTTGAGAAAGTGTTTAAGAAAAGGCATTGACGTGGGTCAGTGATGCTATCCATTTCCAGTTAGGCATCGAAAGAACCAACCTTTCCTTTCCAGGGAGATTTCTTAGGATGGCAAACCTGATGGCCAAGAAGGGTTTTTTAATTAGGAGAAAATCCTTCTGCCTTTGTCTTTCCCAGGTGCGACTTTATGAGTGGACAGCTGAGAAAGAGCTTAGGACGGAATGCAATCACTACAACAACATCATGGCCTTGTACCTGAAGACCAAGGGGGATTTCATTCTGGTCGGTGACTTGATGCGCTCGGTGCTGCTTCTGGCCTACAAGCCCATGGAGGGCAACTTTGAAGAGGTAACGACAATGCTTTTGGTTCAGAAAAGTCATTAACGCCTTGGGGAGGCAGGCCGGGGCAGGCCTTCCCTGGGCTTTCACACCTGCACTTTCTTGATGGTGCTGGGTGCGGGGACCTGCTGGGTCAGCCAGCAGTCTCGAGCTAGACTGGTGAGAAGGCTTTAGGAGGAGGATCTAGGCCCAGGCTTGACTTCCTTTTTCAGGATCTAGACTAGGAAGTGGAGTGGGGTTGTGGCTGCTCCGCGGACCCATCCCTAAATAAAGTGCTTAGCCTTCTCGCAAAAATACAGACAGTCCCAGGCTTGTACTCCATGGAACTTGCTGGTTCTTCTCATTCTTCTGGTTTTTGTTTTCAAGATCGCCCGGGACTTTAACCCCAACTGGATGAGTGCTGTAGAAATCTTAGATGATGACAATTTCCTGGGCGCTGAGAATGCTTTCAACTTGTTTGTGTGTCAGAAGGACAGGTGGGTGACCTCCCGTGGGAGTGGTGGGAGGGGGGACGCGGTGGAGACGGAGATTCGAGTCTGTTCTCAGCCCCTCTGTGGTGCCCTAAAGGAAGTGGTGTGGCCTCCATACGCTGCCCGTCAGTTGGTCTGACAGGCTGGCTAGAGTACATGCTGGTTCAGACTGCGCTGTAGGTTAATGACACTGACCGCTAGAATTCAGAAGTGAGACGTTCTCATCCCGTCAGACCTTAGTTCTCTGGTGATGTCTTCTTCCTGCGCTGAAGTACGGGTGTCCGGTGGCGTCTGCAGGTCACATCTGAGGCCAGGCCCTGCCAGCCTCAGGGCACCTTCTATATTTGAGGGTTAGGCCTTCTGTTCTCTAAGGACCTAAGCAGTCCTGGCCTGTTAATGTTCTTAGAAGGCCAGTCTTGGCTCCTCTCCAGAGCAGTGACCGGGACAGCCTGGCATGCGGTGTCATTCACTCCTGCAGCCTCCGTGGGGGACTGGCCATCTCTGCCACGTGCTGCCTCCAGCCCTCCCCCCGCCCAGGGCTCGCACCTCCCCAGCAGTGTGGGCGTTGGGGGTAATGAGCGCCGGTCATTGTGCTTTCCAGCGCTGCCACCACTGATGAGGAGCGGCAGCATCTGCAGGAGGTGGGGCTCTTCCACCTGGGGGAGTTTGTCAACGTCTTCTGCCACGGCTCTCTGGTGATGCAGAACCTGGGCGAGACCTCCACCCCAACGCAAGGCTCCGTGCTCTTTGGAACAGTCAATGGCATGATCGGTAAGGCTGGCCTTCCTCGGGGCACCCTCCTCACACACATCTCTGCCTGCGTTCACTCTTGTGTTTTGGATTCACGAATCCCAGTTCTGTCACGGGGCTCTTGGCGGTGCCAAGTGAGACTTTCTGCCCTGTAGCCGAAGGTTCCCTGGGGCGAGTGGCTATTCCTGGGGATTCCAGACCTCTGCCATTGGCTTCCTGTGACCTCTGCTTTCTCAGGTCTGGTGACCTCACTGTCAGAAAGCTGGTACAATCTCCTCTTGGACATGCAGAACCGACTCAATAAAGTCATCAAAAGCGTTGGCAAGATTGAACACTCCTTATATCCTTCCTGAGCCCATTGACCCTGCTCTCCGTAGGGTGCCCTCCACGTCAGCGTCAGCAGCTGGGAGGGTGGGACAAGGCCTGTGACAAGGCATCTGAGGGCAAAGTTATGTGCTCCCTAAGGAAAAGCTGCTGGCCTTTCTTTGGGCAGAGATATGGCTTGGCTTGCGACACAGGAGCTTGTCTTTGAAGGTGTTAGGTGTTTGAAGGAAGAAGAGGAGGCAGGATCAGGGGCCTGACTCAAAGCACCAGATTAAGCGTCAGCCTGAGCATGTCCTAAGAAGCTGTTCTTGGTATTGTAAATGCATGTGCTGCTTAGAAATCTCGAACTCCTTCTCCATATCATCCTGTTTGATAACAGAGCAGGGAGTGGCAGGGACAGCCTCGAGGGCATGGTCTTGTTCAGCATCTGGAAAGAACTCTGACCTGGGGGGCAGGGCCTGATTCTGTAGCTGCATGACCTTGGGCAGGTCACTTCTAGCTGAACCTCTGTTGCTTTACCTGCAAAAAAAAGGGAGGTGTCCAGTGAAGTAGGCGTCCTTCAGGGTCCCTTCAGGTTCTAAGTCCTGTGGACAGGAGCATGCTTTGTGAGTCTTTGGCAGGGGGGTCTCCTAGGAAGCCCGGTGAGTGGGAGGTTGCTCCTTAACTGGCCTGCGTACCTGGAGATCGTTTCATACCGAACGCAAGACGGAGCCAGCTACGGGTTTCATTGATGGGGATCTGATTGAAAGTTTCCTGGATATCAGCCGACCCAAGATGCAGGAAGTTGTGGCTAACTTACAGGTGAGCCTTGGGGCGCCATGCGGTGGGGGGAGGGTGTGATTGTATCTCTTTCCTGATTTTAGGGAGCTCAAGACCCTTTATGAGCATCTTCCTTTTCATCCTTCTGGCCTCCTTCTGAAAGGGGGGTTGAAGAGGCCGTCTTCTTGGTTTAGCAAGAGAGTATTAAAAATCACGCCCCAGCCCACGCTCTGTTGGGCAGGGGCTCCTAATTCAGCTTTGTCGGGACCAGACCCTGCCCATGTACTGTAGGCTTTTTGTGCGTCCTGCCTTCTCTGGGACAGAAGAGCTGCTTTCTCTGAATCTTTTCTCCTTTGGTTCATGTGAGAGGATGTCTGCACTAGCCCAGTCCCACCCCGGTGTGTTCTTCTGGCTCCCCACGGGAGGGGGTGGGGCCTCATCTCTTCTTGACCACTCTCTTCCCAAACCCCGGCTTCCTTGTTACAGTACGATGATGGCAGTGGTATGAAGCGAGAAGCCACCGCAGATGACCTGATCAAGGTTGTGGAGGAGCTGACCCGGATCCATTAGCCAGTTGGCCAGGGTCCAACCTTCCTAGCACCTCTCTCCATGTTTGCACCTGGAGTCTTCCCCCACCCCCTTCTTTCTTTAGCGGGGGGGGGGGGGCCTGTCCAACAGCCCCAAGAGCCACACTTTGCCCTGTGTGGCAGCGGGGTCCTTGGGAACTAAAGCCAGCTCACTAGAGATATTGGAAATGGGCCGGGGGTGACGCCATTCTCATGCCTGGATTTTCAGCTGTCGCCAGGGACCACCAAGCCTTGGTCTTGACCAATTGACCTCTTTGGTAGCTGTTGGGCTGAAGGGAAGGTCCGTGGCTCTCCCTCACTCACTGTTCTCTAGGATCTTTGGATTTGGATCTGCTGGGGCTGGGGGTGGGCGGGGCTCATTGTCTTGGAGGCCAGGCCTCCTCTTAGCCTCCCGCTGCCACCTCCCAGAGCTTCCCTCCTTCAGTCCTGGACCCCCAGGCCATGGGGTGCCAGAGATCCCAGGGCTCGCCGTGGAGCTGCTGCCTTCAGGGACAGAGAGAGTGGGGGAAGCTAACGGGTTGTTGGTTTCTGAGTTTTACCAAATAAAGTAGAATCCAAGAGGAAAGAGCCCGTTGTTTCTGCTTCTCTTCCCCTCTGCCTGCCTGGTCCCGGGGGTGAAACTCCTGGAGGCTCTTCTCCCCCACCCCACGTGGGCAGCGTCGCTGTTGTTGGCGTCCCATCGGCTCACCTGCCTCCACGCCTCTTCCCCTCTGATCGTCTGAGGCGGTGTCCCAGCTGGGGAGATTGGCCCAGAGCTGAATCCCCAGTGTTTCTTTGCTTCTCGCTGCTTTCATCTCCCAAGCCCAGCCTGCTGCCCAGACCGGCCTTCCTGGGCCGTGGGCTGGTGGGCTTCTCCTCTCAAGGCTTCCATAGCTCTGCCAGGGACGGGATGACTCAGATGTCAGTAACAGCGGCTTCCTCTGGAAGCCACCAGTCGCTGCCTCTGTTTCTCCTACGTTCCCTTTGCCTGATGTGTGACTCTACTGACTCTTTCCAAGTGGTCAGAATGTGGAGAGGGCAGCTGAGAGGCAGATTTTCCCCAAGTCCTGTGGTCCTCTGGTCCACTCTGAATGACCCCGCAGCTGCCCAGCACCCTCCCACACACACTCAGGCCTAGGAAAGACGTGAGACGATTCCTTGGGCTCTCTAGAGAACGAACACGTGCTGATTTGCTAGCCTCCTGGTGCCACACACTCTTTGCGTTATCCCTTTATTTGCCTCCTGGCTTAGCCTGGCCAAGTCAAGTAAGCAGTTGATACCTTTTGGACTGAGAAGCCCAAGAATGGGATGAGGGTCTGGGATTTAGCCCTCTAATTTGATTCAGGGAACATTAAGTGCCTACCTACTGTGTGTTAAGCCTGACAGCTTAGAGGCAGTGTAAGTGAACCACCTTTCTCCCAGTAGGATGCCCTCTGGTCATTCTGAGAGCAGTTCAGTTAAGGGCTGGTGGGGGAGGCTGGGGACCCCTAGAGGACAGACTGGGCAGAGAAGGTGGTAGCAAATAACGCTGCTTCAGGAGGGATCAGATCGTCCCCTGAGAGCCTCACGAAAGGGGATGACTGCTGTCAGCCAATGGCACTAGGCATCCAGGCAGCTGCACGGAAAGGCACCCAGCCCCTGACCTGGGCCTTGAGCAGAGAGGAAGGCTTTCAACATGAAGCAGTTGTTTGGGGGTGGGGAGGTAGAGCCCACCGGGAGGTGATCTTCCCAGCTTGGCAAGTAGCATGCTGTTGTTGGGACGTGGAGAGTGGTGCAGTGAGGCTGAGAAGATTAAACCAAATTGAACTGGATTGTGGGGGGCCTATAATGCCAGCTAAGAACCTAGACCTTGAGTTCTGCAAGCCCTAGAAAGCCAGGAACCATCACATCTGTGGAGTGGGAAGGTCATTTTGGCAGGATGTGGGGAGGAGGCTGGGTTAGAGCAGAGAGATTGGGGTTGGGCATTCACACTCCACCCAAGACTATTGGCCTCCCCCCAATAACATCAAGAAGTTAGAAGTCATTCCCCAGGTCAAGCAGGTTTTCAGCAGGAGTGGAAGGACGGAGACTGTCTGCAGTGGGTCCCCTTCTCTGGAGCTTTTCTCTACTGGTTGCTGACTTAGGGAAATTAAATGATTTCTCTCTCATGGGGCCTCTCAGAGTCTCCTAAAGACACCATTTGACCTCAGTAACTGAGATGTAGGACTGATTGTTTAAAGACTGGGTTTGAATTTGACCAGGCTTCTTGTCTTGGGGACCAGTCTTGACGAGGGAGGTGTCCACCTGAGGTCTGGAAGACAGAATGCCCGTGTGATTGACCAAGATTGTCCAAGTTGTCTTCAGCGGTTGGATGGTTCATTATTATATTGAGGGCAAGGTGGCCGGCAAGTAGGCCCCAAACAGGAATTTGGGGACAAAATCAAAAAATGTCGCTTTCTGAAGTTGAAACTAAGAATCCGTACAGTATGGGCAAGGTCAGTAGCAGAAGCTACCCTCCCCTAGAAGGTGGTTTATAAATGGATTAGTGATGAAATAGAGGTGTCTCCCAAATGCACTCAAGAAAATGGGCTGTCCATCGAGGCTTTTTACCAGGTCGTGATGTGGAAGAATATCGTTTTTGTGTGGGAAGACGTTCGGATATAGACATTAGACCTGACTATACCTGTGTAACCTTGGACAAAACCCTTTTTTCTGGGCCTCACTTTCATCCCTAAGAGAGATTGGACTACATGATGGCTAAGATCCTTTCCAGCTATAACTCGCATGATCCCACGTGCGAAACATTATATTATCCATGATCTAGTTAATTATAACAAGTCTACGATGAAAAAAAGTTATTCACATGAGAAGATCTGAAGAGAAAATTTGGTACCATTAATCCAGTACCATCCAAGGGAGAAACTCTCATGTCCACAGGGGCACTCTGTTGACTAAAGTGGTGAGGCCCAGTGGAGCAGGGATAGGTGTCCAGGCTCTACCACAGCCGGAGAAGAACATTCCTGAAAACCATTGTCCTCAGCTCTGACTCCTTGCTCTATAGGTGGTCTCTTAATGACTAGGTTTGGGTTTTTTGCTTTTTGAGGTTTCTTTTTTTTGCCTCAAGTATTGAGAAAGGGGTGTTCTGGGTAATGAACTTAAATATCTGGGTCACTGAAAAGATCTATCCCTTCTTCCCCTCTCCTAACCCCATTGTAAATGAATAAATTGGTTTTTAGGCTTATGAGTCTGTTCCTGTGCATTTGGTATTCTTCAGCTGTGCGGAGCCTCTGGGTGACTTCCTGGGTCACACACCTTGGGACCTGTGGTAGAATCCCCAAGATTCTGTTCTCTTTCTCTATTATTGAGACTCAGTCTGAATGGCTTCCTCGCCCCTCTCCATGGCTGTGGCCCGTGGTGTAGTAAACAGAATGTTGGGCCAACAGTCAGGAGAGCTCTTTTCTAGGCCTAACCCAGCCACTGTTTCCTGGCTAACTGTACTCGGAGGCAGGCCGGGGTAGCCTCAGTTTCCCCATCAGTAAGGTGATTGGGCCCTATTCCAGCTGGGTCATTTGGAGAGTAGCATGCTTTAGCCTTCTCTGCTCTTCTGTCTCATCTTTCCAAGTCGGGGAGCCCCTGAAGCCTTTTGGCGCTTTCATTCTTTGAGGCCCATGCTCCTGGGAATTGTCATTGAGAATTAAGTTTCATCATTACACATCACACCCCCAGCGGCCTTTGGGGAAATGACGTTCTGCTCTGAAAAGCCCCCTCCAGCACCATTAATCACTCCTCCTGAGGGGAAGGGCTGCCTGGAGATCTTGGCTATAGCCAGCTGGAACGGCCCCTTTCCATGAAGCCTCTGATGAGCTAACCTCACTCCAGGCCTCTGCACGAACTGACCTTTGGGAAAATAATAGAAACTAACTGAGTCATCACATGATTGTTTGGGATGGGTTGCAAGCCAGCCTTCTTAGCAGCCAACATTAGTTAGGGATCTGTTCTCATTGCAGTGAGTCTATGAGTTACCAAGGTTGGGCAGGAAATAAGACCGAGTTGGAGTCTGGGGGAGAGGGATTCAATGATGAGATGTACCCCACCTGCCTCATGAGGTATCTGGCCAATCTGGCAGACAACCTCTGAGTTCTCTTCACCCACAAATCGGAGAAGGGTGGAGAGGTGGTAAGCAGGAGGTAGTTGCATGTGAGAGATCATTTGGAAGGTTAAGGAATTGAGAATTCCTGTTCAACAAATATCTGTTCAGCATCTGTTACTCAACTGAACAAGTATTTATAAAGGTGTGCTTATCTAGCGCAGGTCAGGCACCATAATAGATGCTAAGGATAGAAGGGCACAGACAAAATCCTGGCCTCAAGGAGCTCAGAGTCTTATTTGGACATGCCTCATTTAAACAGTCACCACGTAAGCACTACCAGATCGGGAAGAAAGGCTTACCATGGGACGTGGCAGCCGAACGAGGTCTTGAATGAGGCTCAGGGGGAAGTGATGAGGTAAGCATTCCAGGCATGGGGACAGCCTGTGCATGTTGCCCTCATGGAACTTGTGTTCTTCCAGATACAAAGGAGGTTAGGGTGTTGCTTACCAGGGAAGAGGAGGAGCTCCACTGTGTGGGAACTGTCTTAAATGCTTAGAGAAGACAGACCCAGACCACTGTCCCAGCTATTCCAAAATCTTCCTCAGGTTAGATGGGGACTATTACAGCACCGGGTTGACCCTGGGAACCACTCAGGATCCTGAATGTTTTTAGTAGGGCTTGATGTTAAGGCCAAGGTTTACGGAGGTCTGGTCTGGGGCAGTGAAAGCTGAAGGTGGGGATGATCTGAAAAGTTTTTTGGATCTAGGGCAGGTGGGAAAGACTGACAGAGCGCAGATCCAGTGTAGCCAGGTTTTGGGATTGACCCCAAAGACAGTTTTGGGGATAGGAACAAGAAAAAGCAATATGGAGTGGAGTGGAGGGAGTTTGAGCAGCGGTTGATTGGAGGTTAAATAGGAATGAAGGTGGGGTTCATGATAGATTAGGGTAATGGCCATGGCTTCTGGCAATGTGGTGATGTTGCTTTTATGTTTGAGCAATTCAGGGTGGGCACAAATACATTTAAAGTCACTGCCCTGGAAGACAGGGCAGACCTGAAAGGGACCTTTCCATGAAATGGCAAAGCTGAAGTTCCTTTGAACACAGACTGTTGGAGTTAGACATGATATTTGGATATAGAACGTAGAAGTTCAAAGCTGGAAATGATCTTAGCACACAGAATGTTTGAGCAGGGAGGGGCCTTAGAACAAGGAAATCCAGAGCCGGAAGACACCTTTGAACATAGAATGTTGTCACTGGAAGGGACCTTTGAGCCCTGGTGTCAAACTCATCTAGAAAAGGAGGCCACCAAACCTTACAGAAGTGCCACTGCGGGCTGCATATTGACTTAGAAAACCACCTATTAACATCTATGTTCTACTGTATTTTTACTTATTTTATTAAAAATTTTCCAGTTACATTTTAATCCTGTTGGGGATGTACTCAGAAGTTGAGTGATTTGGGCTGTATTCTCAAAAAGGGGCCCGTTTGACGCCTCTGTCTTAGAGGAGATCTAGTCCCACTGGAGACACTTTGTGAGGGGATGTGTGTATGGCGTAATGCGTTGGGGCACCCGAGTGGAGCAGGGAGCTGGCTTGAAGGGATCAGATGCTTGGTGATCCTGGGTTGGTGACCTCTGGGTTAGACACCGTTATGGGAGGGCAGCATGGGCATGGTTGATACCATTGATCTTTACTTTCAGGGGCAGTACATTTTGGCTTGTCTCTTGCTCTTCCTTGAATTGGGTTCACCTGTTTACTTACTAGACGTGGCTTCCTTTCCTTTAAATTCAGGCTGGAACATAACAAGATGAAATAAGAGAATGTTAAGCTTCAAGTTTAGCTTTTAGATCCAAAAGTAGCTACACAGGTGCGGGATGGTGCCTTCTTGGCTTAAAAGTAGCTTATGTTTAAAAAAAAAAATGACTTGGGACATTGGGTAGACTGCACTGAGAGAGGGCGGAGTGGTATGTTGAGACCAGCTTCAGATTTGGAGTTCAAGGACAGGATTCAAATATTTGCCCCACTACCCACAACCTGTGGGACTTTGGACAAGTCACTTCCTGTTTCTTGGGTCTCTGATTCCTGTCTCCCCTGTAAGACTGGGTGATCCATTAAAGTATCTCCTAACTAAATCCTTTCATTCTAAATCCAATGGGAGATAACACTGGGATATGGGAGCCCCAACATGATGCTCTGGTCAGACTACATGTAGAATATTGTGCTCAGTTTTGGGTGGTACATTTAAAAAATTTCACCAGCAACTTCGTTCATCTGGAGATGGGTACCATGGTCACCATGGGTGACCAGGATGGTGAAGAGTCAGGAAGCCATGCTATGGAAAGAATGATGGAATGAAGCAGAGATGGCAAGTCAGTTAAACCCTTTTGCACTGAGTTTTCTTGTCTCTAAATTGAGGGGTTGGAGAAATGGATTTGACGATAATACAACTAGGCTTGGAGCTTGATGCTTGCTGGGCTCAAAGAGTAGTACACCTCGATGCGCTTGAGGTCTTCAGTGGAGCGCTCCAGGGACCTGCATTTGGCTGCCAATGACTTGTTTCAGGCCACATATGACATGCTTACTAAATGTGCAGATGATGCAAAGCCTGGAGCAGTCACTAGTACATTGGACGACCAAGTCCAAAAGGTCCTTGACAAGCTGGAATATTGAGCTGTATGTAATATGAAAGTCAATAGGGATGAATGTAGTCTTGCACTGGGACACAAAGAATCAGCTTCGCAAGTATTAAGATGGGGGAGGCACGGATGGATACCAGTGGCTCAGAAAAGGTTCTTGGGGGTTAGTGAATAGCAAGCTCAGGCTGAATCAGCAATGTGATGTGGTAGCCCAGAAGAGAATGTCATCGTGGGGTGTAGCTTCGAGGCATCTGAGGGGCGCCCCCTGGAGACTTCAGCCAAGGCCGATTGTCGGGAGGAGCTACAGAGTTATTGTGGTGTTAAAGGGGAGGTCTTAAGAAGCCAAATAGAGCTTCCCAACCCTAGGAAGTCTCATAGGCTTGGTAAACTCAGTTGCTCAGGTGGAGGTCAGTGAGACAATGAACTTGCCTCTGGGGCACAGACTGCTCCCGACTGGTCCCTTGGTCCCAACTAACTCGTCTACATAAAGTCACCCAAGGATTGATTATGGGAAGGAGGACTGACTAGTGGTGCAACTTACCCTAAGGCAAGGTGGAGGGGCTTTTGTGTCAGTGTGGAAATGATGATAGCTGAGTTGAATCCCCGAGGGACTTAAAGGGAAGAAAGAGGCTTCTGCTTATCTCAAGCTAAGGATCCCAAGTTCTAGCTGCAAGAACAATGTGGCATTCCCACTGAGGAGGGCAGCCAAGCCAGCGGCATCCTGGTAAGGAACCAGCGTAGCTGTGTGACCTGCCAGGTGCATCCCAGCAATAAGTGATGTACTGCTTAATTCTCTTCGAGGACAGGATTCCTCCCCAAGTTGGGGAAAATGCTTCGTAACTATTCTTACTATAGCATTTGAGTGAATAAATGCCTTTGCTAGAGAACTGACTGCAGCTATTGGTTGATTGTTAAGAGGGAATCACATCAGAGTGGGCTCTTGAATTAGGGTTGTGAGGGCAGCCACCATGGGGTTATCTTTAGAACCCTGAAGGTAATAGCAATCATTCCTTCCATTACTCAGCCCTGAGGAAGGATATCACCCAGGTACTCTGCCTTTATCCTACTCAAAATAGAGTGTTTTGTTTGCTTCTGGACACCATCGTTTAAGGACAGTGGTAAACTGGGGAGTATCCAGAGGAGGGCTACCGAAGAAAGTCCTGGAGTCCGAGGCGCATGAGGACTGGTTAAAAGAACTGAGCAGGTCTAACCCAGAGAAAAGGCTCTCAAGGGAACATGATGATTGGCTTTGAAGGGCTTTCCCATAGAAGAGGAATTAGATTTGTTCTGTTTGATCTCAGAGGATGGGCCATGGGTGTAAGCTGCATGGAAGCAAATTTAGGCTTGATGTGAGGGAAAACTGCCTACCGATGAGGGCTGTCCAACAGTGCAAAGTGCCGCCTTGGGAGGTGGGTTCTTTCTGCTTGTGGTCTTTGAGCCTAGGCTGGAGCCCACCCAGTGTTATGGTGAGAATTCCTTTGGGGCCTGGCTTGGACCAGATGACCACTGAGGATGTCCCTTCCAACACTCTAGTTCTGTGGTTCTGTGACTCCATGATCTTGGAGGTTCTTCCCAGCCCTAGTTAGATCATGATCGAGGTTTTACCTGGGAAAGAGAAAAGACCCATTGGACGGTAGGTATATGGAAAAAGGAAGTAAACTGTGTTCTTTCAAGGAGCAAAATTGGGGTGCGAGTGAAGCAGTACACTGGGCTTGGAGTCAGAGGATCTGTCTTCAAATTGCGGCTCTCCTGCTTACTGTGTGACCTTGAGCCAGTCACAGAGGACATGTGGTTTAGTGTTTCAGCCACATCCAACCCTCCATGACCCCATTTGGGGTTTTCTTGGCAAAGATACTAGAGTGGTTTGCTGTTTCCTTCTCCAACTCATTTTATAGGTGAGGAAACTGAGGCAAACAGGGTTAAGTGACTTGCCCAGGGTCACACAGCTAGTAAGTGTCTGAGGCCAAATTTTAACACAGGAAGATGAATCTGTCTGACCCCAGGCCTGGCACTGTGTTGACTACGGCACCACCTGGCTGCCCCTAGGGGGCATGAGGTCATACATTTGATGCGACAAAGCACCGTGGACACCATCTAGTTCAACAGTCTTGTTTTACAGATGAGGAAACTGAGCCCCACAAAGGCTAAATAACTTAGCCAAAGTCACACAGAAAGTCAGCAGCTGAGTCAGAATTTAAAGCCCATCCCACTTCCTAATCCTGGGCTCTTTCCACTCTGTCAGGGTCTGAGCCTCAGTTTCTTTCTCTCTAAATGGAGGTTAAAGTAAATGACCTCGAAGGTCCTTTCTAGCTCTAAAACTGACTTTCCTGTAAAGTTTCAGAGGCAGGTTTCAGCTCAGTGTGAGGCAGAACTTTCTACCAATCAGTGCTTGCCCAACAATGGAATAGGCTGATCTGTGAGGCAGTGAGCTCCCCGTCACTGGAAGTGTCCAAGCAGAGGCTAAAACTCGTCGGAATTATTAGCAACCGGTGAAGTGAGAGAACTAACGATGTTCCAGGATTCCTGCTGCACTTTCCTCTGCACTGGGGCTCCCCCAATTTCTGCGCCCCCGTTTCCGCGGCCAGTCTTAGCCGCTGCACTGGACACTGTGGGCACCTGGGGGGCTCCTGGATTTGTCTGGTCCCCTCTAGCCATTAGAGTCCCTCGGGAATACCTGATCCGCTCCCCTGTGGCTGTCTGATTGAAGCGGGTGCAGCTTCCCAGATGAGCCACTCACTATTATTCTGGAGAAGTATCATGAATGAATAGACTGGAGAAAGCCTCCCCCAGGCTGTCTTAAAGGGGGCTCTTCCTCCGGGCACCCACTGGTCAGGGTTCTGAGGCGTCACCTGCCTCAAGGGAGAAATCCGCCCTAGATTTCTCAGGTCCCCAGCTCTCTTCACCTTAACGCACAAAAGAAATAGCTGCCCTAAATGAGAGGGCGGAGTTTGGGCCCACGAGGCCAACAGACTCAGCACCACCAGGCCAGGAGAGGGGCGGGGATGGCAAAGGCCAACTTCGCTCCCTCTCCGGGCCCCCGGGCTCTCTGGCCGTATTCCCCAGGGCGGACTGGGCCCCAGAGCTAGCCCCCCTGCCAAGGAAACGGGAGGTTCCCTTTGCCCCCGTCCCAGAACCCCGGGGGCCCGAGGGCTCAACCTTTCCCAGGGCGTAGACAGCAGCCCTCCAGTAGGATCCCTGTCCGCGGCTGGGGGCCGAAGGGTCGCCGATCTTGGCCCCTGCCCCCGCCAGTCCTTCCCTTCAGCCTCCGGCCCCCGGCCCCCGGCCCCAGCAGCTCTCCCCGGCTCTTGCGCCCTCGTGGCTTCAGCGCTCCCGTGGCCCCGGGACCCCAGCAGCGGCCCCCTTGTCGGCTCCCGCCGCCCCATCCGCTCCACGGTCCTGGACTCCGGCTCCCCCCTCCCTCCAGCGCGCCCCCCCCGGGGGCCGGAGAGCCGCCCCCATCCCCACAGGCGCCCCCCACCGTTCCCTCCCTCCCCCTCGGCCTAGCTCAGCCCCCCGCGCCCCTCGGCTCCCAGCGCGCAGCACCCGCGGCCCGGGGGCTAGCTCTCCGGGTCGCCGGCTCCCTGCGGGGCCCCCGAAGCGCGCGGGGCGGGCCAGAGGAGGGGCCAGGGGCCGGCCGGCCCGGCAGCGCTCCCCCATCCCCTCCGGCCGGCTCCCCCCTGCAGCGGAGCGAGGAAGGGGCGAAGGGAGGGAGCGGCGGGCCGTCCAGCCCCGAGCCGAGGCGAGCCATGCGGGCTGGAGTGCTCCTGCGAGCTGCCGCCGCCGCAGCTGCCTGCCTCGCGCTCTCGCTGCCCGCCGGCGTCTCCGCCCGAGGCTACACGGGGGGCAGGAAGAAGCCCGTTCCCTTCGCGGCCGAGAGGTAAGCCCGGGACCAGAGCGCCGGCGCTCGTCGCAGCCCTCCGCGCCTGCCCCGGGGAGCCCCGGCGGGCCGAGGGAGGGAGGGCGCCGGTCGCCCGGCAGGCTGGGCGGGCGAGCCAGCGATCGAGGGAGGGAGGGCACCGGTCGCCCGGCAGGCTGGGCGGGCGAGGGAGGGCGCTGGTCGCCGGGCGCGGAGGGACGATGCTCCTCTGGGGCACACCTCGGTGGCGCTGTCCACCTGGCGGTGGGGGTCGGGGGCCAGGGGGTGGTCAAAGGGTCGAGGGAGACAAAGCAGCCCAAGAGTCCAGCTTCCCACCCGGCAGTGTCTGGACTCGCCCCCCGGGGCTTCCCCGGGCCGAGCTCTGCCTTCTCGGTGCGCGTGCTCTCCCTCCCTGGGCAGCCTCAGTAGCCTTCACCCTGGACCCGGGCATGCCTCTGGCAGCCTCCGGGCCAGCCCAAGGACTACCGTGAGCTTAGGGGAGGTTGTGGTGGTGGGGGTGGGGGTCTGGCCCTGTCTGTGTCCCTGCCTGGGCCACGTTGCCCTCTGGATCAGGTGGCCCAAGGAGCCCGCAGTGCCCCCCTGCTCCTTCCGAGTGACCAGCTCTCCTCCTGGCACAGCCGGGAGGCCCGACTTCAAGCCCTGGAAGCGCCACGGTTCAGGGGGAGGAGAAATGGATTTGGGGTCCCACGACCTGGGTTCCAGTCCCAGCTCTGCTGCTGGTGACCCTGGACAAATGACTTCTCTCAACTAATCTGCAGACATTTCTCCGTCGCCAATTTTTGTGCAGGGCTCTGTGCTGGGCCCTGGGCACGGAAAGACAAAGGGGAAAGAGTTCTGACCCTAGAGGCTTTATAATCTATATGGATACATATATAGGAAGGGAACAATGTATTACACACCAAGTGTTTTATAAACATTATCTCAATTGAGTCCCATAACAACCCTGGGAGGTGGGTGCTGTTGTGATCTCCACTGTGTAGTTGAGGAAACTGAGGCAAGTAGATTAAGTGACTTGCTCAGGGTCACACAGTACTATCTGAGGCCCAGCTCTCCTCACCACCTCCATGCCTCAGCTAGATATCAGTATACAGAGGGGAGCTAATTTGGGAGTAGAAAGGCCCAAGCAGCTGCGGGCAGGGGCAGAGCAGGAATGGCCTCCCATCTCCCCTCTCTGCCTTTGCCCAAGCCTGGAATTCATTTCCACTTCACCTCCGTTTCTGAGAAGCCTGGGTGTCCTTCAACACTCATCTCTAGCGCTTTGGGTGGCTCCGTGATGCTTCTATATGCCCTGCACACAGTAGGAGCTGAGTAAATGTTGGCTGAAAGGAAGTGGGAGGGTAACTTGCGGTGTGGTGTGGCGATCGCCTTTTCCATCTGGAGACAGAAATCCTGGGTTCGAATTCTTACTCGGTCACTGAGTTGACTTTGGGCAAATTTTTTAACCACTCTGGGCCTGGATGTCCTGCACAGAAAGAGAAGGTTAGAGCAGATAGGTGTTCCCTCAGTTCCTTTCTATCTCCCTGTAATCCTCATTAGATCAGGGGCTTCTTGAAGGCAGGAAAGATTTAGTTCTTTACCTTTCTCGGTAACCCCAATGGTGAGCACAAATGCTAGTGCCTGGCATACGGTAGATGCTTAATAAATGCTGTTTGACTGGCTGGGTGACTGAGTGATCTCTGCTTCTCTTTATACTTTCTTTAATAACACAGAGAAATGGGGGGCCGATTTTTCACCTGCAATGCCTTCAAACACAACAAATCGTGACTTCTTATAGAAGAAAAGTCTCTCTTAAGGAGTCCAGGCCCAGTCAAGTATTGCTTGATATTCATCTCCTGGGGATTTCTCTTTCTCTCTCTCCTTCCTTCCTTCCTTCCTTCCTTCCTTCCTTCCTTCCTTCCTTCCTTCTTCCTTCTTTCCTTCTTTCCTTCTTTTCTTTCTCTTTCTCTTTCTTTCCTTCTTTCCTTCTTTCTTCCTTCCTTCCTTCTTTCCTTCCTTCCTTCCTTCCTTCCTTCCTTCCTTCCTTCCTTCCTTTCTTTCTTTCTTTCTTTCTTTCTTTCTTCCTTCTTTCCTTCTTTTCTTTCTCTTTCTCTTTCTTTCCTTCTTTCCTTCTTTCCTTCTTTCTTCCTTCCTTCCTGCCTTTCTTTCTTTCTTTCTTTCTTTCTTTCTTCCTTCCTTCCTTCCTTCCTGCCTTTCTTTCTTTCTTTCTTTCTTTCTTTCTTTCTTTCTTTCTTTCTTTCTTTCTTTCTTTCTTTCTTCCTTTCTTCTCTCCTTTATCTCTTGGGCGGGTGTTGCCTTTTCCGTGGGGCTTGTGTTGACTTGCTCCCCCTCCGAGGGCGGGAGCAGGCAGAATCCTGCTGCTCCCTCGCTTGATGGGAGCGTGTGCCTGTGTGCGCGTGCTGCTGGCTCCCTCGCTCCCTGTGTGAGAACACTGTGTCAAGCTGGGGTTTTCTGGCGGGGGGCCAGGGAGAGCTCTCCTGCAGCGTCTGGGGGTCCTTGCCCCTTCCCCGCCTGACGGCTTGCACCTGTGTGGTTCCATGAGCTGCCTGAGGTTCTTGGCCCCATTTCAGGGCCTGCTGTCCACCTGTCTCTCAGTCAGTTTGTCAGCTCGTCTCCCTGGGGATTTTCCACTCGGTGCCTGTCCCATCAGGATTTGATTGGACAGATGCATGCTGGAGCTTTATCTCCTCCGTGGGGCATCCATCAGTCCCTCTGGCCAGTGTGCCACAATCAGATAAGACGCATGTGATCTGACTGCCTGATAAGACAACCCCCCCCTCCAGCTGTCACCTTGGCACTTGTGATTAGGGGCAGCACTCAGCTAAGCATGCTCTAGGGTGGGGGGGGGCAGAGAACAGTGTTGCCAAGGCCCCCCCTTGGGACATTTGGGGACTTCTGTTCTCTGGCTGGTGGTGGAGAGGAGAATCTTATGAATCCCCAGGGATACTTGCCCACAGCCTCATATAGAAAAGGGCACTAGGTTTGGGGTCTCAGGACCTGGGTTCAAGTCTCACTATTGAATTACCTGGGTGACTATAGACAAGTCACCTCATAGGCAATCATAGATTGGGAGCAGGAAGGGATTTCAGAACCTCTTTATTTTACAGATGAGGAAACTGAGGCAGGGAGGTGAAGGGCTGGGTACAGGAACCAGAAAATGCAGGAGGAAGGTAGGATTTGAGCTGAGTCTGGAAGGAAGACTGGGAAGCTGAGGAAGGAAAGCATTCCAGGCACGGACAGCCACTATTGAAAAGGCATGGAGGGGGGAGACGAAAGAACAGCCAGGAGGCTAGTGCCCCTGGATTATAGAGTTCATAGAGGGAAGGAAAGTGTAAGAAAACTGGCAAGGTAGAAAGGGGCCAAGTTGTGAAGATTACATTTAATCCTGGACTAATGGGGAGCCATTGCGGTTTATTGAGCTGGGGAGTAACATGAACGCACCTACACTTGAGGAAAATCACTCTGACATCTGAGGGGAAGAGACGCTGAAGTGAGGAGAGATACGAGGCGACTCTGAGGTTATTGCAGTAGTCTCTGAGAAGTAACAGGGACCTGAGCTAAGGTCATGTGGAGGTATGGCTGGAGAGAAGGGATGTATGTGAGAGATGTTTCAAAGGTACAAGTGCTCTCTCCCTTCTCAGATTACCTCATCTTTGCTCAATATTGGTAGGGTGTATCCCTACTGTGGAATGTAAGTGCCCTGAGGACAGGGGCCGTTTTCTTGGTCTTTGAATCCTCAGCACCTAGCCCAGTGTCTTACACATAGTAGGAGCTTAATAAATATTTGTTGAGTTAAACTTTGAACGTGGGATGCCACAGTGCCCAATGCAGTGCCAAGCCTCTAGACTAGAGTCGCCTCAAGGGACCGCCTTCTGTTGGCTGGCTGGCCCATGGACTGGATGATTGGCCTCTGTCGTCCAGCTGACTTGGTTTCTCCTCCCCAAACAATCTCTCTCTTTTCAAGACGCCGCCTGGGACCCCATGTTTGCCTCTCAGGGTTTGGAAGCGGATGCTGCCCTGGCTGGGTGCCCTCCCTGGGCAGTGGACAGTGTACTCTCCGTAAGTGCCTCGGCTCCTTCAGTGAACCTCTCCTCCAAGTAATGAGGCTCTCGGACCTGTGGGGTGTGGGGTGGGGTGGGAACCAGGAGTCGCGCTGGAGGACGTGCTGTCCAAAGGGGCCCAACTCTTTCTCACGTGCCCCTCTCTCTCATCCCTCAGCCCTGTGCTCCTTTGGCTGTGGCAGCGGCTTCTGCATCGCTCCTAATGTCTGCTCCTGTAGGGATGGAGAGCAAGGCATCACCTGCCCAGGTAAATGAGAGCAGGAGACCTGGGTTCTAATCCTGTCTAGGCTACGATCTAGCTGTATGAGCTGGAAAGAGTCCCTTCTCCTCAATGGACTGCGGTCAGCTCCCCTGGAAAAGGAGACTAGATCATTTTTTCAGCTCTAAGACTGCTCCTCTGATAGAGGAAACATTACACTGTGCATATACTCTTTTAAAAACTTTTTTTTTAGTTTAATTTTAATGTTTTTTATTAATTACATGTAAACCAAAATTTTAACATTTGTTTTAAAATTTTTTAAGTTCCAATTTCTCTCCTTCTCTGTTTCCCCTCCCCCTTCCTTGAGAAGAAAGCAATTTGATATAGATATATATAATATATAGGGGGCAGCTAGGTGTCACAATGAATAGAGTGCTGGGCCTAGAGTCAGGAAAACCTGAGTTCAAATCTGTCCTCAGACATTTCCCAGATGTGTGACCCTGGGCGAGTCACCTAACCCTGCTTGCCTCAGTTTCCTCATTTGTAAAACGAGCTGGAGAATAAAATGGCACACCACTCCAGTATCTTTGCCAAGAAAACCCCAAGTGGGGTCACAAAGAAGCAGATATGACTAAAAATGACTAAACAACAACATAATTTAGTGATATCATACGTATGTAGTCATGCAAAACGTTTTATGGATATATTCTTTCTAGGGGATAGGCTAGGGGAGGGGGAGGGGTAAGGGAGGCCGGGGGTTGATGGCCTCTACTAGGGGTTCACCGAAGCACAACATATATGCAAAGACAGGATCAAGGACCTGGATTCAAGCTCTGGGTCCATTATTTAAGAAATCGTAAGAAGACATGGGTAAGTCAAGCTACCTTTGTTAGCTTTGGTTTCCTCCTTTGTAAAATAGAATAGTAATTTTTGCATTACCCGGCCTGGGACAAAGAAAGTACTCTGCAAATAGTCAAGCATTATTACTTAAGTGTGAGCCATTATCATAACTGTAACATTTAAGAAGGGTCTGGTCCATCTGGGCTTTGACCCGGGTGGGAAATTCAGACACTATCTGGGCACGTGCTTCCTTTCCTGCCTAGTTCCATCCCCTGCATCAGCCTCTTTTAGCAGTACCATCCTCTCTCCTTCAGGTGCTTAGAAACTTTAGGGTGTCCCAGAGCCTGCTTCGTCCTTCAATTCCCCCCACCCTTTTGCTTAGCCTCTAGGAGTGTCCAGTCTTTTTGACATCATGGGGACCTTGTAGTTTGCTGGAGTGGATTTCTTCTCTGTCCTGGGACTCCTCCTTCTTTGCTACCTCCACAATCTGAGGGGCTTGACCTAGGTCAAAGATTGCTCTGTGGCTGTTGCTATTATTCTCATGTTACCGATGTTTTCATTTCAGAAGCCCCTGGACCATGTGGTGAGTATGGTTGTGACTTGGCCTGTAACCATGGCGGCTGTCAGGAGGTAGCCCGCGTATGCCCGGTGGGGTTCTCCATGATAGAAACAGCCATTGGCGTCAAATGTACAGGTGAGAATGCTGGCAGAATGCCTTCCCGGGAGGCATGTGTATCTATCTACCTGTCCTGGGAAGAGAGAGTGCTGGGTCTTCTGCCGGAGGACCAGCTCTGCTATTCACTGTCTGTGTGATTGGAAGCGAGCCACTGCTCCTAGTTTGTGAGTGAGGGTTGGAGGAGATACACCCTAGGGTCCTGTTTAGGTCTCTGTCCTAGCACCTGTGGTTTCCTATCCCCAGTGGTCCCGAAGAGACTCACAGGAGGAGATGAAGAAAGGCACAGGGCTGTGGGTCTATCACCTCCTAGAGGCTTTCTGGTGTTTCCTCTTTCCTTCCCTCTCGTGTGATCAGAGACTTACAACTCTAGCCCTGGAACAGAACTTAGAGGCCATCCGGTCTACACTCTTCCTTGTACAAATGGGGAAACTGAGGCCCAGAGAAGTAGAGGGGCTTGTTCCACTTGCATTCCTTGTGGAGTGGTTGAGTGAGCTCAAGGGCAGGCCCAGGCATGGAGAAAGGCTCATTCCATGCCATCCTTTCCACTTGCCAATCTTTCCAATCTTTTCCCCTCTTAAATTTTCGCTCCGGTTCTAACCTTTCAGACTGTAAGCCTTCATGTGCTTTAGGGTACGTGGTTCATTCCCGCCCCCCTTCTTTCCCAGCTCCAGTGGAGCAGAGTAACACTCAAACGAAGGGCTGAATTTAACAAAGTGAAATTGAATGGAGATAAATGTCAAATCACACTGAGGTTTAAATAATCAATAGCAGAAACACACGACTGGGCATCAGTTCATGTGGAAGAGACACCAAGATCCAAGTGAATCAGTAATGTCACTGTCCCCCAACACTAATGTAGTGTTCAACTAGATTCATAGATGCCATAAACATTCCATGTGTCTAGAACGAGGGAGGCATTAGTCCCATAGTCTTCTGCCCTGGTTAGACCCCATCTGGAGTATTGGGTTCACCACACTGTAAGATAGAAAGGGTCCAGAGGAAGGTGGCTACTATATTGGTGAGGGAACTCAATCCTGCAGTATGAGAGAAACAGCTGATTTGGAGGGATTTTTGACTTGGAGAATGGAAGAATTGGTGGGAGGGAGGGGAGACACTATAGCTGTTCTAAATCATTTAAAGGGTCATCCTGTGGAAGAAGGATTAGCCTTGCTCTGCTTGGCCCTGGAGGGCAGAAGAAAGAATAATGGGTAGAAATGACGGGGGCACTGATTTCAATTCAACAACAGAATGAATCCTTCTATGGCGCTTCTATGGTGTGAAATCACTCGACTTGAAGTCAGAGGGGCCAGGCCTATGTCCCTACTCTGCCCCTCACTCCTGCTATGATTTGGGGCCTCCTCTGGGCCTCAGTTTCCTTCCCTGTAAAAGGAAGGGGTCAGATGAGGTGACCTCCTCACAGCTTGGACATTTCATGAGCAGAGTTAGTCCTTCCTTAAAATTCTGTGTCTGTGGATCATTTCTCTCTCATCTTGACTTGGTACGTGATTCCTGTGGTTTTATGAGAGTAAGTGTGTGACTTTCCATCTGAGTATGTCCCTGACCTTGCATGAGCTTATTTTATTGGTGGGTGGGTGTTTTCCTTCGCCTGCCATGTGGCTGGCCGTGTGGGCGTAGGAATGTCTAGGGGTTGGTTTCCGTGATGTAGTGGAAAGAGCGTCGGGCTGGCAGCTGGAGGAATTGTGGTCAGATCCCAGCTGTACCACTTAGTACCTGGGTGACCTGGCAGAGTGACTTCACCTCATTTTACACATTAGGGGATAGGGCTTTCATTAAAATGGCAGATTTCTGGAGTTGGAAGAGACCACAGAGCCTGTCTCGTCCAACCAAAGAAACATCGTCTATGACATCCCCAACAAGTGGTCATCCAGCCTTTGTCTGGAGACCTCCAAGACAAGGGAAGCTCGGCCTCCCAGGAAGACCATTCTTCCCTCATCTTGTGCTTCTTTGGAGACCAAGTCTTTCACTTTCCCTCCTTGAGCCTCAGTTTCCTCATCTGTAAAATGAGGGGATTGAACAAGATGGCCCCTGGGGTCCCTTTCAGCTCTGGATACTTTGTTTCCTGTTACGATTCTCCAGTTTGGTTCAGTCTAATGCCGTGGGTAGCTTGCTGAGACATCTTGGAATTCTCGGTTCTGTAACGTTAGAATGTGTTAGTGATTTCTCCTGGTCTTGTGCCATGAATGACTGAATCATGAATCAAGGAGCATTTATTAAGCACTTACTATGTGCCTGTACTAAGTCCTGGTGCTATAAATACCAAAGGGTTGTCCCTGCCCTCCAGGAGCTTACATTCTAAGGGCATTGCTGTCAGCAAATCAGATGAGCATTTCATTTATAACTTTATCCAAGTCATTGATGAAAATGGTGACCATCACAGGGACAGGTTTAGATCCCTGGGACACTCCACCAGTGACCTTCTTTTCTATACCTCGGGTTTATTCATTCAATCAGTCCAGAATCCACCTAACTATCTGTCTCTAGGACCCTGCCAAGTGTAGATTCTTTGAGTCCATCTTGGAGGTCAATGTCTTTATTCTTACTTGTCAGAAAAATTACCTAAAGGCCACAAGCTCTCTGTGTTGTTTTTCCTTCCCAGACATTGATGAATGCTTAAGCTCCTCCTGCGAGGGCCTCTGTGTGAACACGGAAGGAGGGTTTGTGTGTGAGTGTGGGCCAGGTATGCAGCTTTCTGCTGACCGACACAGCTGCCAGGGTAAGTCCCCCAAAGAAGAGGCTGGGGAACTCGGGTGGACCCTATCGAAACTGTCCCTGAGGTCTAGCCAGGAGACAGAATAAGGGCTGAGGAGACAGCAAGAGGGAGGACAGGGTCCACCAGAGAGCAAAGGCAGGAGAGGGCCTAGGGGAGCTCGAGGTGAGGCATGACCTCCGGGGAGGGAAATGGGGCAATTGGAGGGGAAAGGAGCCTACCGCTTTCCCAGAGGTTCTGCGTGATAGCAGTTGGGGAGGAAGTCGTGGAATCTCAGCTTTGGAATCGAAGTCAGAAATCATCCTGTTTAACCCTGGGATACTTGAATCCATCAAGCCAGCAATGAACATTTATGAATAGGCATTGTGCTTATCGCTGGGGATACAAAGAGGCAAAAGACAGTCCCTGCCCTCAAGGCGCTTACAATCTAATGGGGGAGATAAGAGGCAAACAAATTTATGCAGAGCAAGCTGGATACTAGATTAATAGGAAGTAATTAACAGAGGGAAGGGGTTGGAATTAAAGGGGGTTGGGGAAGGCTTCCTGTAGGAGGTGGGATTTTAGTTGGAACTTAAAGGAAGCTGGGGAGGTCAGCAGGTAGAGAGGAGGAGGGAGAACATTTTAGGTAGGGGAAGCAATCAGAGATAAGGCCCGGAGCTGAGAGATGGACACAGTCAGAGGAGGCCAGTGCCACTGGACCAAAGTACGTCTTGGGAAGTAAGCTGTAAGAAGACCGGAAAGGGAGGAGGGGGCAGGCGATGAAGGGCTTTGAATGCCAAAAAAACCATCTTGTATTTGCTCCTGGAGGCAACTGGAATGCGTGTGTGTGTGTGTGTGTGTGTGTGTGTGTGTGTGTGTGTGACCTTATCAGACCTGTGTTTAAGGAAAATCACTTTAGTGGCTGAATGGAGGACAGATTGGAGTGAAGCAGGCAGACCCACTTGCAGGCTATTGTAATAGTCCAGGTGTGATGTGATGAGGGTCTGCACCAGGTATGGCAGTGTCAGAGGACAGGAAGGGGCATATTCAAGACATGTTGTAAAGGTGGGATCGACAGGCCTTGGCAACAGAGGAGATATTGGGGCGGGGAGTGAGAGAGAGGGAAGGATCCGGGATGACACCTAGGTTGTGAGCCAGAGGGACTGGGAAGATGGTGTTACACTCTACAGTAATAGGAAAGGTAGGACAGGGGAAGGTTTAGGGGGAAAGAGAATGAGTTCTGTTTTGGACATGTTGAGTTGAGGATGTCTATGGACAGTCAGCTCAAAGTGTCTGAAAGGTGGTTGGAGATGCAAGGTTGGAGGTCAGCAGAGAGACTGGGGCAGGATGGGTAGATCTGAGAATTGGCAGCATAGAGATGGTCATTAAACCCATGGGAGCCGAGGAGATCCCCAAGTGAAGCAGTACATAGGGAGGAGAGAAGAGGGTCCAGACAAAGCCATGAGGGACCCCTGTGGTTAGAGGGCAGGATCTGGAAGAAGATCCAGCAAAGAGCCAGAGGAGGAGCCGTCAGAGAGGGAGGAGGAGAAGCAGGAGAGAGAGACAGAGAAAGAGAAAGATACAGAGAAAGAAAGAGAGAGAGAAAGAGAGAGACAGAGACAGAGACAGAGGAGCCATCAGAGAGGGAGGAGGACAAGCAGGAGAGAGAGAGAGAGAGAGAGAGAGAGAGAGAGAGAGAGAGAGAGACAGAGACAGAGAGAGAGACAGAGGAGGAGCTGTCAGAGAGGGAGGGGGAGAAGCAGGAGAGAGAAGAGAGGATCAAGGAGGAGAGAATGACCAACAGTGTCCAAGGCTGCAGGGAGGTCAAGGAGAATGAAGACTGAGAAAAGGCCATTGGACTCGGCAGTCAGGAAATCCTTAGTAACTGCAGAGAGCAGTTTCAGTGAAATGATGAGATTGGAAGCCGGATTGTAAGGGATAAATTCCCTCAATGACCTTCCTAAGAAATGGTCAAGTAGCTCTCCTGAGGCCACTTGGAAGGACTCAGCACTTCCAAGGCACCTCTTCCCTCTGGGACAGCCCCAGTTGGTCAGAAGCGTTCCCTTGCATTGAGCCCAAGTCTGTCCTCTGGTTTTGGTTCTGCGCTTTGGGCCCTGCAGGTCAGTCAGTCAGCAAGCATTCGTGAATCATTTAACATGTGCCCGGTGTTGAGGATACGAAGCAAAAGCAAAGACAGTCCTGCCCTCAAGGAGCTCATAGTTTAAGTGGGGAAACAAGCATAGACCTCAGTAATACAAGCTAACTGCAGAGGAGGTGGAAGGTGCCGTAGAAGGGGAGGCTTTGGCACCTGGGACCCAAAGAGGCATCTTGCAGAGGGTGGCATTGAATTGAGTCTTAAAAGAAGTCAGGAGGGGCAGCTAGGGGAGCTAGAGCTCCGGCCTTGGGGTCAGGAGGACCTGAGTTCAAATCCGGCCTCAGACACTTGCCGCTTACTAGCTGTGTAACCCTGGGCAAGTCACTTAACCCTGATTGCCTCACCAAAAAGCAAAAAAAAAAAGAAGCTCCTTGTGGGCAGGCCCCACATTCCACTTTTGTCTTTGCACTCCCTAAGGTTAGACTACATGGGCAGAAGGGTAACCAGGGACAAAAATAGCGAATGGGCAGGCAGTCTGAGGGGGACTTGTGGCCCTGTTCCTCCTCCTTGGACTTCTGTAAGACTTGGTCGCTCTTCCCCACTCCCTGCACGGGCTAGCAGAGGACCGACAGCATGGACTCCCTCAGAAGAAGGGGGCCCCCTTCCAAGATCAGCGCGTTGGACAGAGCCCTGGCTGCCTGCCATGGTTAAGGCTCTTCACAGAGGCAGCAGGCATTTGGAGCGGCCATGCTTTTGAGCGACTCGTGCCTTTCCCTTTCAGACACCGATGAGTGCATGGGGGTCCCGTGTCAGCAGAGCTGCCAGAACAGCATCGGCAGCTATAGGTGCTCCTGCCGAACAGGCTTCTACCTCCATGGTAACCGGCACTCCTGCGTAGGTGAGGCTTGGCCCAGGGACCGGGGCTCACCGCCGCTCCCTGCTCTCCTCACCGTCTTCACGGGTGAATAGGGGCTGAGACCCAGGGGCCGGGAAGAATGAGCCTTTACTATGTGCTGGGCTCTGTGCTAACTAACCTCTGGTCATACCAAGAAGGGCAAAAACAACCTCCCTGTTCTGAAGGCGCCCACGGTCCAGTGGAGGAGAGGCCATGCAAATGACCGAGCCGGAGAAGAAGGGGTGGGCCAGACTGAGTGTAGACAAGAACAGACGAATCCCGAGAAGCGGGGCACCACGTTCAATTAGTTATTTACTTAAAAAGAAAAAGCAAGGTCTATGACAGAAGAGATTCACATTTTCACGTGCAATCCTCTTTGGTTTATATATATACATTTATATAAAAACTCATTTTATTTGGAGTTTATTAACTTCAGAAATCTCTAAAAAATGAAACAAATAAACATGGAGGATTGGCCCGCATGACCCGTAAGGCCCAAAGTCTATGGGTCCACGGCCTTTGATGACTTTCATTCCTTCCTTTTGCCTTGGCTCGCTCCTACCCTGGTCCTCAGCTCCAGTATTCCTGAGCGTGCTGGCCCTCCTTGCCGACCGGCATCACACATCTAATTCCTCTGGGTCACAGGAGTTGTGAGCCCTGTGTTTGGTCAATGTGTGAGCAGCATAAAGAAACTCAGGGAGGGACCCCAATGGTCAGCCTTGAGCTTGGCCCCATTCTGGGCATGTGACTCTAGACCATGTCCAAGCTCCTCTCTGGCTGGATGAGGGAGCTGGAGGCCGGGTCCCTCGTCCTTGGAAAGGTCCCAGCCACCTGGCATACAGTCATGCTGAGAGTAGATCCATGTTTTCAGTAACTCAGGGATTTAAAAATTCCCTTCTGGATTGTCAGAGGAAAGCAGCCGAGTAGTACACTGCCCAGAAGGCTAGACTGGGGATCGGGAAGACCTGAGTTCAAATCCAGCCTCGGACACTTACTGGCTGCGTGATCCTGGGCCGGTCACTTAACTGCTGTCCGCCTTTATCTGTAAAATGAAGGTAGTAATAGCATCTGCCTCACAGGCTAGTTCTAAGAATCCGATGAGATATGTAAGTGCTTTATAAATCTTAAAATGCTCCGTAAATGTCAACGTTACTGTTGTTGTTGTTATGTGACTTGCCCCGGGTCACACAGACAGTAAGGGTCAAAGCTGGGATTTCAGATTCATGTCCCTTCTCACCAAGTTCAGTGACCTTCTCTCAAGATTGAGCTGCCTCTTGTAATGGATGTGACTTCAGGTCATGAGAAAAAGCTCTTCACTGCTTCTATGACCTTGGAAAGTCCCCTGGGAAACCCCACCCCTCCCCCTGCCCCCCACCTTGAGCCTCAGTTTCCTCCTTTGTAAAATGATGGGATTGGATTTACTGACCTCTGAGGGTCTGCCCAGCTCCGAATCTTTGACCCCAGGTGAAATCACAGAAGTGCACGGGGCTGGTCAGATTTGTGTAGGAGGTGGGTTTGTTTTTTAACATGCCTATTGTACACTAGATGTTTAATAGCTAACACATACTATGTGCCAAGTACTGCTAAGCTCTTTACAATGAGTATCTTATTTTGTCCTCACAACAACCCTGGGAGGTAGGTATTATCATTATCCCCACTCTACAGATGAGGAAATTGAGGCAAATAGAGGTTAACTGGCCTGGGGTCACATAGCTAGTAAGTGTCTGAGGCTGGATTTGAACTCAGATCTTGCCGACTCCAGGCCTGGCGCTCTATCCGTTGCACCACCTGTTTAACCTTTAGCGACTCAGTGACTAACTGTTTGGGTAGCATCCGACACCTTGGTGTGGCTTGACCAGCAGCGGTGAGGGCCCAGCCCACCACTGGCCATCTGGGGCAGGGGGCTAGGAACGGGCCCCCACGTCTCCAGCCCGGGGGAGGCAGGAAGAAGGTCCTTCAGTGGTCAGGGGCACTGGGGGCCCTGCTGGGAAGTCCTGTGCTGGGCAAGGAGCCTCTGTGGACGCATGGCGGGGGGTCTTCTGCAGATGTGAATGAGTGTCGCCGACCCCCAGAGAGGCGCGTCTGTCATCACTCCTGCCAGAATACCATGGGGAGCTTCCGCTGCGCCTGCCGGGCCGGCTTCCGCCTCAGCGCAGACAGGACATCCTGTGAAGGTGAGCGTCCCCTCTTTCTCTGAAGGCGTTTGAGGTAGAAGCGGGCTTAGCTTTGCTCCGCCTGGCCCCTGAGAGCAGGAGTAGGCACTGTAGCTGGAAACGGACCTCAGATGGAGGCTTGAAGTCACGAAGGACTTTGTAAGGACGATGGAACCTCCACGAAGGCTAGAAGTCTTTCATTTGCGTTTTCGTGTTCTTGGGGCCTAAGTGCTAAAGGGCTGGATGACCATTTATCAGATATTTTGTAGAAGTAGGGGTTCTTCACCTCCGGTCTATGAATGTTTCTTAAAAAATATTTTGATAACTATGTTTCAGTATAATAGTTTCCTTTGTAATCCTACTCATTTAAAAAACGTTCTGAGAAGGAGTCCATCGGCTTCCCCAGACCCCCGGAGGAGTGTGGGACGCACAAGAAGGGTAACGAATCCTCGGTCTCGAGGAATTATTGTTCATACACTGCACTGGTTGGATTCACTGGGCGCTGAGGACCCTCTTGACTCTGGGGTTTGGTGGTTTAGAAAGTCCCAGGAGTTAGGGAACTTTGTCTTCTCTAATCCCTTGTTCATTCGCCTTCTCCGTCTTTTCCTCCATTTCTTTTCTTGTTTTCTCTCTCTTTTTTTTTTGGCAATAGGGGTTAAGTGACTTGCCCAGGGTCACACAGCTAGTAAGTGTCTGAGGCCACATTTGAACTCAGGTCCCTCCTGATTCTAGGGCCGGTGCTCTCTCCACTGTGCCACCTACCTGCCCTTTTTCTCCTTATTTCTAAAAATTTCTGTTAAATGCCTTCTCTTTCCCCCATTTCCGTATCCTTTCATTCCCCCTTTTCTTTCTTCTTCCTTTTCTTTTAAAATTCTTTTCTTTTTTTTAATTATGAACTTAGAGATTTCAACATACAATAAAGAACAAAGGAGAGGATTATTTATAAAACCATGAGCTTCGGTACGCAGGGTTTTAAAAAATGTGTAATAAATTTAACTAGGTAGTAACAAAATCGCCCTGTTTGTTTATATCTTCCTGAACTTCTTGTTTTTGCGTTTAAAAAAATTTACAAAATGTTTTCATACTGGTCTTTCGTTCTAGAGCTTAGCACAGAGCTCAAAGGATAGTAAGCTCTTAATAAATGCTCACTGGCCCAACTTCTTAAAAATTGCATCTCTCTTTTGCCCGCCTGTCTGAGCCTCTGCCCCACTCGCTTTCTCCATGCCTTCTTTCTTTGTCCAGCTCTTGAGTTCCCTTTACTTCAATCAGTCCCTTCCCAGGGTTGCTCTGTGCTCGAGTGCAGTAAGGCATTAGCCCAGTGACTTGTAGGACCAATGCCCTTTTACTGCTCTCAGCTGGGAAGAAGCAGCTGTGGGAAGCCCAGGAAAGCAGCCGGCCTTCCTCCCCTCTCCTCCTCCTCCTCCTCCTCGTGTTCTGCTTGTCAGTTTGGCAGCCCTAGGAGCCAGGGTCGGGGGAGTGTTCCTGAGGAGATCAAGGGGGCTTGGGCCCATCTGGAGGAGACAGTTGGAGACAAAGAATTGGAGGAGTCAGGAAGCGGTTTTGTTTCTTAGGATCCATCCCTGTACTGAACTCTTTATTGGGGAAAATGGATTAGGAGGGTGAGCAGGTTAGCAAAGGGCGTGATCTAGACCAGCCATCTGAGGACTGACTGGAAAAGATGGGGATGCTTTTCAATCAGTTGACAGTATTTGTTAAGTGCCTGCTTTGTGACATCATCATAGATTTAGAGGGGAAAGGGACCTTAGAGGAAACTGAGTTAGCCTGCCCCCTCCCATTTTACAGATGAGAAAACTGAGGCACAGAGAAGCTAAATAATTTGCCTAGGGTCGCAAGACTACTAATTGTCAGAGGCGAGATTTGAACTCAGGTCTTTCTAACTTCATAGACATCACTCTGTCTTCTGCACCGCCTGACAGCCTCTTGCAGAGGCTGAAACAACCCCAGCTCTTAAAGAACTTCCATTTTAATGGAGGGAGATGACTCTCAAATATGTAAGAAAAGACTTGGGATGGACAGGGTAGCTATCTGCACATGTGGAGGGCAGCCATGTGGAAGAGGGATGGCACTTGTTTGGAATGGTCCCTAGGGCTCCCACAATGGGGAGAGTTGCAGGACATGGCACTTTGGAATCTTCTGTTCTGTGCTGGGTGCCCACAGGTTAGGAAAGGCACCGATGAGGTTGAGAGCGTCCAGGAGGGGGCGCCCTGGGTAGGGACAATGGACTTGGAGGGGGCGCCATATTGCTGAATGTTCCAAGCAGGGGATCTTAACTTCTGTTTTCTGGGTCACGGCCCCCTTTGTGGTGAAGCCTACGGATCCCTTCTCAGAATGATGTTTTTAAGTACAGAAAATAAAATAAAGGAAATAAATTAATAAAGGAAATACACAAGAATAGTTATCAGAACATTAAAAAGAAAAGACAAGTTGATGGACCCTGGCTTAGGATGTAGGGAGAATTTTCCTAGAAAGGCGAATTCTCAGAGGGGACGTAGAAGCGTCTCACGTACTCGAAGGCTGCTCACGTGGAAGGGGGATGAGGTTGGTTCCAGCAGGGTGCACGAGGAGTAGTTGGGGGAGACTAGAGGGAGGGAAGCTAGGCCCAGAAAAACTTCTTTACATTGAGAGCTCTGCCCCAGTGTAATGGGTGGCCTTGGAGGTCTAAGGAGTAAGTGGGTTGACCACTAATCGAAATTCTGCGATTCTGTGCAGCAGTCTCAGGCCCCCAGGAGCCTCACTCCTCGGTGCTCTCTGTTTCAGCGTTTCCGAAGGCTGTGCTTGCCCCATCGGGCATCCTCCAATCTCTCCAGCACCCCCCAAAGATGCTGTTGCTCTTTCCGGAGTCTGGCCTGCCCGCCCTGCCTCCTGGCCATGGCCCTCCTTCTCGGGCACCTGGCCCCCCACCAGTAATCAAAACGACTCCTTTCCTGATGCTGACCTCGGCACTGCCAGCCTCCTCCACCTCTGCCCGGTCCCTGACGTCCTCAGCTCCAGTGGCCACCCCATCTCCCAGTTCCTCCTCCCAGGGAAGAATGGTGAAGCCATCGATCCTGGCAGGACTGCTGCCCCCTTCGCTCTTGCACGGCGAGGCAGTGAGGACCCCTTCCCCTCCCAGGGGCCCCTCGACCTCTCGGCCTTCGCTGGTGCCGTCCCCTTGCGGGCACCAAGGAACTGCCCGTGAGCACGGGAGCCACTGGACTGAGCCTGGCTGTTTGCACTGTGGGTGCCAGGTGGGTGCGAGCCACCAGGGCACTATCTCGTTCAACGTTTCTGTGCCAATGGCTTGGCAGTAACCAGTGTTCCATGTTGTAGGACGGCGAGGTGACCTGTGAGAAAGTGAGGTGTAAAGCCGCCTGTTCTCACCCGCTGCTGCCCTCCCGAGATGGTGGGTGCTGTCCCGATTGTTCAGGTGAGGAGTAGCCCACCTCTGGTGGGGCCAAGCCTGCCCCCTCCCCCCAGGGCTAGGTGTGGAGTCAGGAACCAGGACCCGGAGTTATAACTAGCTGTGTGACTTTGGGCAGGTCCCTTAACCTGCTTTAGCTTCAGTCTCTTCATCTCTAGAATGGTCATAATAATGGTACCTTCCTCACCAGGCTGTTACGAGGGTCAAGTGAGAAAACACATGCAAACACTTTGTAAATCTTAAGGACGATCTCAACACCAGTTATTGTTAGTCGACTTTTCCAGCTTCTAAGGGTCAGAGAATCGTGGGACTTGAGCCCCTGGGACCTCACAGCCCTTTACCCGCATTGTACAACAGAGGGCCCAGGCAGAGAGAAGGTCAGAGAGCTGAGCAGCAGGGGGAAGGAGTGCACGGTGAGCTGGGCCTCTTGTCAGGAAGACCGGAGTTCAAATCCAGCTTCCGTGTGACCCTGGGCCAGTCACTGACCCTCTGTTGGCCTGTTTCCTCATCTGTAAAACCAGGGAGCCAGATTAATGGCCTCCAAGTTCCTTCCCATTCTAAATCTCTGACCTGTGATTCGGGCCCGGGGTTCCCTGACTCCAGATTCCACGGTCTTTCTTTCCGTTGCCCCCCACAAACAGCTCATTCCTGTGGGAATGGCAGGCATTATTCAGATGGGGAAGGCAAGGCTCACAGAGGTGGTGAGCTCCCGAGGTCCTCCGGTGTTCCTGAGGCCAAGGCTAGCTATCTCTGTGCTGCAGCTGAGAAGGCTGAGCAGTGCCCTGAGGATATATGGGAGGGGGCGAGTGGGGCGCTGTGAATGGGGTGCTTGCCTTGGATTCACCCCCAAAGAGAAAAGGGATTGCGTGTGCGTTCTGAGGCCCCAGTGCGGCTTCCCCTCCCTCTGCCTCGCTCATGGGCCTCATTAACCGCCGTGGAAGTGCATCCCCACACTCCCCAGCATCTGAAGGAGGCCCCTTCTGGTGCCAGCATGGCTAACCCCTGGGGGATGCAGCTTCATGAGTTCCACATTTGGTTGCTGGGTGGTTCTTTCCAAGTTTTCTGGGTCTACTTCTCCTTTGATCCACATCCCTGGAGGGGGTCCCCCCTTTGCCGGGGCCCTGAGGGTAGGAAAGATCTGTCAGGTTTATCAGGGCTTTCCCCTCTCCCCCGCACCCTCCTTGGGGCAGATTAGCTCTGGGCGGTTCTGTTTCCTCCTTGTCTCTCCAGGTTGTTTTTATGACGGTTTACCCAGAGCCGAAGGGGACGTGTTCTCCCTTCCCAATGAGAACTGCACTGTCTGTGTCTGTCTCGTAAGTGTGTCGCCTTCCCCATCCAGCCCCCAAGGGCTGTTTCCTTAGCTCTCTGGGGAATCCTAGGAGGCCCAGAACACTAAAGGGGGAAGGGCGCGAGCTGGCTCAGCATAGGGTGGGCTCTCCATCTTTTTGCTGTGGTTGAGGCTTTAAGGCTACAGTCTGGAGACCTGCCCAAGGTGGGGATAGCCCGCTGGGGGGAGGTCTTCTTATCCAGGTCCTTCGAGGCAGGGATGCCCTCAGCAGGCAGAAAAGAGTTAACCAGCAAACACAATCCATCTGGTTAGGAAAGCGCGGGGGGGGGGGGGGGGGGGGGGGGGTGGGAGAAGAGTCCTGAGGAAACCTCCAGCCAGTGAGGCTGATCTCTCTCCAGGCAAAATATTTGCCAATGTAATAAAGGAGTCATCATGTAAACACTGGGGGTAAGGTGGGCCTGTAACCCCAACTGGGCCCATTGGGAAGGTTTCCTGTTAAATATGTCAGCTCGATTGCTGGCCCAGTTGGTATGCAGAACTGTATTGTTTCAGTGGGCCAGGGGCAGTTGGTACAATGAAATTTGCTAATAAATAGATTTAGGGGGAATCCAGTGGGCATGCCCGTCTCTGTGCCTCTCAATATTCTGAAGATTCTAGTTGGTCAAGAGGTATTAGGCATGCGCAAGAGGCTGAGCATGTCATGGAGAGCAGAAAAAAAACCAGGGGCTTGAAAACCCCTGGGCCTGCTCCTCACCCAACTCCCCCCCTCCTCCACCTTTTTTGGCCTCTCTCAGGCCGGGAACGTATCATGCATCACCCCCGAGTGTCCTCCTGGTCCTTGCCTGACCCCTCCACAATCTGACTGCTGCCCCTGCGTTCCAGGTAAGTTTCTTTGACTTCTTTGGTCTCTCTCTCTGTCCTCAGCCAATGCAGGCCACAAATATTTTCCAATCTTAAGATAGGTTTCTTGACATCGTAGACATTGGTGTAAATTTAAAATGGAACAGCTGCTAGGCTAGGGTAGGAGGGAGCGGCACCCGGACGGAGGGGGCCATCCCCTCCCCCACTGATAGGCCTTTCAAAACATTTTTTTTTTTAAAACTTGGTTTTCCATTCCGTGATGTGACAAGCAGCTGGTGTGACCTTGGCAGTCTGACAGGATACATTTACCATTTGGTAGATGCCCTGATCTCATGAGAAAGGCGGTCCCAAGGACTGGGAAAAGCTAATTTTCCGTTGGAGTCTGGGCTCTTAGAGAGTCTGTGGCCTTGGACAAGTCACTTCCTCTGTTGAAAGGCCCCATTGTCCAGTGGAAGCCAGACTGACTTTGGAGTCAGAACCCATGAGCTGTAGCTGCTGGCTGGCAGTGGGCCCTTGCCCTCCCACGGTGCCCCATCTTTCCTCTTCCTGAGCTGCTGGCGTGCAGAGGACCTGACACGTTTCTCCTTTGCAGTGAGATGCTATTTTCATGGCCAATTTTACCCGGAAGGGGCTGAGTTCAGCGGGGATGGGGATGAATGTACCACCTGTGTCTGCCAGGTAGGGAGGCGGCCAGCCCTGGGTGCTTCGCTCCCTAGCAGCTCCCCTGGGGGAAAGAGGGTGACTAAAGCCATATAAGGCATGAGAACGATGACATAGCTCCATCCCATCTCTCTCACTTTCCCTACAAACCCATGTCATTTGGTTGTGGGTGGTGGGGGTTTCCATTTACATGGTCAAGCCAAAGGATGAGGAACAGAAGGTTGATGGGGATTTCAGAGCCAGGCTCCCAGTCCCCACCCTTAGAATAGGCTACGGGAAGAACTGTTGGAGCTATCGCCTGTGGCTGCCCCTCCATCCTGTGTCTCCCTTGCAGAATGGGGAAGTCCAGTGTTCCTTCATGCCTTGCCCAGAGCTGGACTGTCCAAGAGAGGAGTGGCAGTTGGGACCAGGCCAATGCTGCTTCACCTGCCGAGAGCCCACACCAGTGTCAGGTGAGACCCTTCCTCTCCCCCCACCCCCTCCACGAGCTCCCTGGGCTGAATCTGAGAATCTCAAGGTTGGCAGGGACCTTAGAAGCCATTTGCATGAGAGCCCAGATTCAAACAGGTCTGGACAGGCCAAAACACTGGCCCAGATCTAAGAAGATGGAATTCAATAAGGATAAATGTAAAGTCTTGTAGCCGGGTCCAAACAGTCAACGTCACATGTATAAGACGGAGGAGGTGTGGTGAGATAGCGAGTCATCTGAAAAAGACCTGGGATTCTCAGTGGCCTAAGGCTTGAGGTCTTAAGGCAAAGATGAGATGACCACTTGTGGAGTGGGTTCTTGTACAGGTGATCTCTGAGGTCCCTTCAAACTTCGAGATTTTATGATTCTGGGATTTAATTCAGTGCCCTGTCCTGACACATGGATCATTGCTATAATAGCCTCAGCAAGTAGTCATCTGGGTTCTGCTGAAAGGCCTCCAGGGATGAGGAACTCACTACCTCCATGGAAGGCCCATTCCACTTTTGGATAGCTCCAATAAGCCAGTTGGCACAGTAGATGGAGCACTGGGCCAGGAGTCAGGAAGAACTAAGTTCAAATCCGGCCTCAGACAATTCCTAGCTGTGTGTCCCTGGGCAAGTCATTTAGCCCTGTTTGCCTCAGTTTCCTCATCTGTAAAATAAACTGGAGAAGGAAAGGGCAAACCAGTCTAGTATCTCTGCCAAGAAATGGGGTCCCAAATAGGGTCACAAAGAGTCAGACACGACTGAAATGACTGAACGACAGGTCGGACTGGATGGCTTCTTCCTTCCAACTCTGAGCTTGCTAACTCTGGTCACTGCCCAGTCCCTTCAGCGCATCCATCCTCCCCCACGGGCGTCCTTCCCTTCCGCTTTCCCCCATTCCTTGCCTCACCCTCGGTGTCTTTTGCTTCCTTCCTTGCGGGCAGGCTGCTCTCTGGATGACAATGGAATTGAATTTCCCATTGGACAGATCTGGTCCCCTGGTGATCCCTGTGAGTTATGCATTTGCCAGGTGAATGACAACCTGTTCTACCTCACTCAGCTTTACCTGTTCTCCCGGGCTTGGTCCAGAGATGGAAAGGCTCCTGCTCTGGCCTGTTCCCAGGCCTCCTCCAGAGTCCTGTCATTGTTGCCTGCCTCAGGCTGCCATCTCATTAGCTCTTGTATAGCCACTCAGTCCCTTTGATGAGCAACAGGTTAGGACCCAGGGCATTCTGTAAAATCAAATCTAGGGAAATGGAGGTCGGCCATATACCCAAATTCTTCTGATGGAAAAAATAATCAACATGAGAGGTCGTGTGGTGTAGTGGTAGAGAGTGGGCCTGGCTGACAGGAAGACCTGAGTTCCAGTCCTGCCTTGGATCCTTCTGGCTTGATGACCCTGGGCAAGTGACTTGACCTTCCTGAGCCTCAGTTTCCTCATCTGTAAAGTGAAAGGGTTGGACTAGATGGTCTCCATAGTCCCTTTGAGCTGTGATCTCCTGAGAAGAGAGACACCCATCACTGCGCATGCTTTCCAAGCCATTATTAGTGAGCTGAGTCCACAAACCTCAGCGCCAGTTTGCCCAAAGCATTGGTAAGCACTCTTCAGATCCTCTTCAGCTCTGGGTCACCGTCCTTTGGTAAAGCTTGCAATCCTGTTGAAACAATATGTAAAAGAGGGGTTTCCTATACTCCATAAGGTTGGGGTGAATGGGTCCTCCAATGTTGGTGATGAATTGGGTTCAGTGTGGGAACAATCTGCCCGCCCAGGGGGGTTCTGGGATTTTACTTTGTTTTGGGGAAGGGTTGTGTTCTCCTTCTCCAGTATGGCTGGGCCAACTTTGATCAGTGATCTCTGGCTCTTTCTTTTGTTTGGAATCGGAGCTGCCTCCTTCTGGAGCAATGCTAGCCCCGTGGGCTGCTTTCCTCTTTCTCAATGGGGCTTAGTGGGTGGAGTGGGGAGAAAGCCGGGCCTGGCTCCAGACAGCACCTCAGGGGTTTCTGTGAAGTGCCTCCTTCTTTCAGGCAGATGGTTCTGTGAGCTGTGAGAGGACCGACTGCGTGGAGACCTGTCCTCACCCTATTCGGATCCCAGGACAGTGCTGCCCCGACTGCTCGGCAGGTGAGGGAGAAGGGACGCCCTCTGCTTCCAGAGTCCCCTCCAGAACTCAACTCGTCCTAACTGCATAGGGCGGGGAGCCAGGAGACCTAAGGTCCTGGAGTCAGGATGGCGACGGAGCTGGGAGGGACCTACGGCAGCCAGTCCGTAAACATTTATCAGTTGCCTGTTGGGTGCTAGGCACCGTGCTAAGTGCTTGGCATCAAGTCATAGATCTAGGCCTGGAGGCCACTTTGTCCCCACTTTACGGATGAGGAGACTGCAGGCCCAGAGAGTAAAGTGACTTGCCTAAGGTCATACAGTTAGGTAGGAGGATTTGGGTTCAGATCTTCCATCTCCAAATTCAGGAGGACACTACTGCCATGTCAGCTCTGCCACTGGCAGGTACGCAGTGTCAGTGGAACTAGAGGAAGATTCCCACAGTATTGGACGGTGCCCCTGCAGAGGATGTGGGACAAGGAGGACACAGACAAGAATTTCACAGGATGGGTTGCTATCTGCATCAGTGGAGAGAGTGCCTACCTCACAGAGGTGATCATGGGAGAAAGCCCTTCTGCAGGAATCCTCTAAGGCTGCCTTCCATCTAATCTCCGCTGTATTGTGGATGGGCTGGTTGTCTCTGTATTGTCTCCTGAATGGGAGCTCTCTAAGAGCAGGGACAGTTTTGGCCTTTCTTTGTATCCCCAACCCTTGACTCAGTGCCTGGCACATTGGAAGCCCTTAGTGAATGCTTTTTGATTGATTACAGATCCATTGAAATAGCTTATCAAAGACCAGAGTTTTAAAGCAAGTCTGGGCAAGCCCCCCCCCCCCCCCCCAATCTGTAAAATAAAGGATTTGGCCTAAGTGATGACCAAAGTTCCATCCGGCTGCCATGTTACATGATGCTAGTGTTCCATTCAATTAAGCCTGTTTAATTATCGAGTACCAACTAAGTGTCTGGATTGGTGCTGCTCATTGGAATTTAAATGACACCTTGAGATGGACATAGTGGCCTCCTGACCTCCTAACCCGGTTGGGGAATTAGGACTTGCACATAATCAGTGAGCCCTGTGAAATGACTAATTAAATTAAATCCAGTTGCACAATGCAGGTAATAAGGTGAGGGAGTGGTTGGGAATGGGAGAGTGTCTCCGAGGCTGGAGCTCTTAAAGAAAGCTACAAAGAAGATCCTGGAAGGACCCCCTGCTGGGCTTTAAGGAGAGAGAAGAGTGGGGGCTGGGTGGGGAGGGGGAAGACGGTGGTCAGAGTTCCATGAAGTCAGGCACTGTGAGTAACCCTGCCACCTCCACAGAGGGATCATGGTCTGGGGGTATCTGCTGAGGAGAAAGAAGAGGGTTATTCTACTGGGTTCTAGATCCTACTCCTAGAACCCCTAGCTTTCCTATAGGAAGCCTTCCCTGATTCTGCGTGCCCCTCCCCTAAATAATTATATTCTCTCTCTGGAACTTTCTATGTATTGCTTTGGTTATACTTTGTATCTAGTTGTGTCTGTGACATTTTCCTCCAGTAGAATGGAAGCTTCTTGTGGCCAGGGGCTGTTTCATTCATGTCTTTCTGTCTCCAGTGTCAAGCCCATAGTAGGCAATTGACAAATGTTTGTGAAATTGAGCTGAGGTTAATTGACTTGAGGAGCCAAGTGGGGAAAAAAAAAAAAAAAAGAGAGATCCAGATTGGAACCTATCCTTAATGGGGGAATGACTTTGGAGAGGCAAGCTGGATGGACATCATCATGTGGGGCCCACATGGGCGCAGATCTGCAACAACGCACTTCTGGGAGTGTCCCAGGAGGTCACTTTGACCCTGCTGTTTCCTCTCCCTTGCCCCCACAGGTTGCACGTACACGGGAAGAATATTCTACAACAACGAAACCTTCCCTTCTGTGCTGGATCCTTGTCTCAGCTGCATCTGCCTGGTATGACGGACCCGAGGGGGCTGCGTCTCCACGTTTAGACCCTGAGCTGTAGGGAACCGCCGATGGGCTAACATTAGTGCTGACCACACCAGATGCACATTCAGAACCTCCCCTCTCCCGCAGGAAATGGGCAGGGACCTGCCTGTAATTTATGGTCCAAGTCAGCTCTGTCTCTATCTCTGTGGCCACCAGCAGGCTCCAGCTACTCTTTCCCTCCCCTCCTTTGTGAAAGGACAAAGGGGCAGATTTCCCCTCGGGAGCATCCCTGCCGCCAGGTGACTGCCTCTGGAATAGCTCTAGCAGGCCACTGGCCTCTTAAACTCAGACCCCAGGCCTAGCAGAGCTTTGGAGGCCTTTCAACAGGTGCCAAACCCGTTCTTACAGAGTGAGGTCCCCATATTTGTGCCTTCTCCTCAGTAGGTATAGGGCATAACCTTCCTTGGAGGGGGTTTCGTACCCCCCCTTCCCATCTCCGCCTCTCACCCCACTTCCCATGGCCTGCGACTCTTAGCAGAATGAGAGCTCCATTTCTCTGTGATCATGGCCACCTTCCCAGACTGTCCCAATAGCACCAAGGTCTTGGGTTCAAATCCCAGCTGTCCTTCTTTATTCCCTGGGTCATTGTGGGCATTTACTCTTGGCCTCAGCTTCCTGGGCTGTAAAATGGGTGGAGAGAAGAGTTCCATTAAACTTCACGATCCCCAGGGATCTCCCTACAACCCCTTGGAAAACTCTTGTATGTTTCTGTGTCCTGTAGCTGGGCTCCGTGGCCTGCTCTCCCGTGGACTGCCTCATTTCCTGTACCTACCCATTCCACCCTGAGGGAGAGTGCTGCCCTGTCTGCCAAGGTGAGCAAGCAATCCCACCAGGCACCTCTGTACTCATTCATTCATTCATTCATTCATTCAGCAAGCATTCACTTATCACCTACTGTGTGCAGAGACAAAAATGAAACTGGCCCTGCCAGGGAGCTTACATTCTGTTGGGAGAAATGTCATGTACACATTGAAGTAAACATGTGTACATAATATGTTGTTGTTCAATCATGTCTGACTCTTCATACCCCTTGGACCCTATTGTCCACGGGATTTTCTTGGCAAAGATACTGGAGTGATTTGCCATTTCTTAATCCAGTGGATTAAGGCAAACAGAAGTTAGGTGACTTGTCCAGGGTCACACAGCTACTAAGTGTCTGAGGTCGCATTTGAATTCAGGTCTTCCTAGGCTGACTATCTCTTACGTCTTTGGGCCTCTTAAAATACATACAAACTGAAGACAGTAATTTCAAGGGGAGCACTAGAAATTGGGGGAGCAATATTGAGGAAGGCCTCTTCTAGGAAGTGGCATTTGAGATGAGCTTTGGAGAAAGTTTGATATTCTAAGAGGAATGCATTTTAGACGTGGGACACAGCCTAGGCAAAGGCTCAGAGGTGGGAGATGGCCAGAGCGTAGAGTGCATGAGCAGAAATGACATATGACATGCTGAAAAGGTAGGCTGGAGTCAGATGGTGATGGGATCGGGATGCCCTGTGGCCCTGGGCTGAGCACCAGCTGCTCATACTGGCGCCGTTTCTCCTTTCCTTCTGCAGACTGTAACTATGAGGGCAGGAAGGTGGGCAACGGACAGGTGTTCTTGCTGGAGAACGAGCCCTGTATTCGCTGTATCTGCCAGGTGAAGGGTGCCCGTCAAGGGGAGAGGGCCTGCCGGAGATGTTCCTGGCCCGTTCCTCCTTCCTCAGACCTTTTTATGTCTCTCCACCCCCAAAAGCTGTTGGCCCTTTGCCCTCCTCGTTCCCTTTTGGGGGGACCCAGAATGACAGGAGGTGATTGATTTAAAATGGATCGTAGATTTCAGAGCTAGAAGGGAGCTCCGAGGTCATCTAGACCAACTGCCTCATTTTACAGATGAGGAAACTGAGGCCCGCTGTGAGGAGGCAGCTTGCCCCAAGGTCCTAAGGTAGTTTCTGGTGGCTCAGTGGATAGAGCGCTGGATTTGGAATAAGGAAGACCTGAGTTCCAATGCTGCCTCAGACCTTTAATAGCTATGTGGGCAAGTCACTTCCCTACCTTGAGCCTCAGTTCCCTCATCTGTACATCTGTAAAATGAGAGGAATCTGAGGTCCTTTCCAGCTCTAAATCCGTGATCCTTTGTTTGTTTGTTTGTTTGTTTGTTTGTTTGTTTTTTTAGTGGTGAGGCAATCGGGGTTAAGTGACTTGCCCAGGGCCACCCATCTAGTGAGTGTTATGTGTCTGAGGCTGGGTTTGAACTCAGGTCCTCCCGACTCCAGGGCCGGTGCTCTAGACGCTGTGCCACCTAGCTGCCCCCTCCATGATACTTTGATGCAAGATTTGAACCCAGGTCCTCTGTTGAGAGCCAGTATGCTTTGCACTGGACTACTCTGTCTCACTGCTGCCCTCCCTAGCTGTCACCTCCTGGGCTGGGGCCGGGTGGGTGTGTTTCTCTTGCTTTCAGGGGGAATATTTCGATTTGGAGGCCTGAGGGAAGAGGTCCTGAAGGGCATTTCTCTGGGCAGGACGGCTCACAGGTTCTTCCCTGCTCCTGCAGCTTGGGGAGGTGAGCTGTGAGAAGGTCACCTGCCAGCCAGCCTGCACCGACCCTGGTCCGACTTCAGGGGACTGCTGCACCTCCTGCCAAGGTGAGACCCTCACCCTGGGCCTCCCTCCCCTGCATCATCCCTTGCCTCTTCTTGGAGTCAAAGACTGTCACAGCAGACAGGGACCTCAGAAATCATCGAGTCAGCCCCCCCCTTTTACAGATGTGGAAACTGAGGCCCAGAGAGGGGAAGGGACTTGTCCAAGGTCGTGCCAGGTAGAAAGGACAGAGCTGGTTTTTGAAGCGAGGGCCTTCTGACTCCAAAGCAGCTCTCTTTCGTGTGTAGTCAGGTAACAGCAGCCAACAGGAGCTTATTAAGCGCTTACTGTGTGCTTTAGACCCTGTGCAAAGTGCTGAGGATCCAAAGAAAGAAAAGAAAAAATCATAACTAACATTGGCTGCGCTTTAGGGTTTCAGAGATATCATCCCACTCTATCCTCACAATGACCCTGGGGGTGGCTGCTATTATTATGCCCGTTTTTACAAAGAAGGAAACTGAGACTGCCAGTGGTCAAATAGCTATTAAGAGTCAGAGGCAGGATTAGAACTCAGGTCTTCCTGCCTCCAGGCCCTGTGCTTGCTCCACTGTCCCAAAACATAGACCCTGCTCTCAAGGGGTAGACATTGTCAGATTGAGGCCGGTTTAAACGGCAGGAGGTGCTTAGGGCCTGCAGGCCTGGGGCTGGGGGTGGTGGTGGGGTAGTATTGGCACTGATTTTGTTCCCCCTCCCACCTGAACCTTCAGGGGTCTTGCTTCCTGTGGAAGGGATGCCTGAGCTCTCTCCGCGGAAAGCCGCCCGGAGCCCTGGAGAAGCGGCCCTGACCCCCCGAAACTGCAGCGTCTGCCCTAGAGTCCCCCAGGCTGATGCCCGGGATCAAAAACCTCAGCGCCTCCAGGTTCTGTTGAGAAAGAACACGTCTGCTGCGGAGACTTTGCCCGCGAAGCCCCTGGGGCCACAGGCCTCTCGCCTGCCCCGGCAACGGCCAAGGGCTTTTCTGGGCTCTTGTTCCTTACCAGGGGTCTCGTGCCTCGATCGCTTCACACCGGGAGCCTCTCATCTACCTCCTGCCTCCCCAGAGGCTCCTCAGTCTCTGCCTGCCATGTCAGCGACTTCCCTCCCACCATCTAGGGTTCCAGGAACCCTCCATACCCACTCAGGATCCGAGGGGCTTTCGCCAGCCGTCATCAAAGCGACAAGATCTTCTGGGCCTGTTGAGGCCAAGCAGGACCCTTCAGAGCCCCCCACAGTCAGTTCAGTACTTCCTGGGTCCTCTCTCAGCATGGCTAGACTCTCTTCCTCCTCTACGGTTTCTCCCAGCTCTTCCCGGCAGAAACCTACAGAGAATCCCTCCCTTGAAGGAGAGCAGAGTGTATAACGGCGTCTTGTTTGGAGGGCCATGTGAGGAAGCCCATGGGAGGAATGGGGGAGAGAGAGAGAGAGAAACAGAGAGAGAGAGAGAGAGAGGGAGAGAGAGAGAGAGATTGAGATTCCTGGTCCAGGGAGTACTTGTGATCACATTTTGAGATGTCCCTGGTGAAAAGGATGGGGAAAGGCTTACCTGTGGGCTTTCACCTGATCCCAATGGTACCAAGCCTATGCTGGACAGGAATGGAAAACTGGATGAAGCCCAGATCTTGCCTTTCCCCTAGACAACACGGAGCCCAGGCAGATGGTGGAAGGAAGCAGACCACGGCCTCCCCCATCATGTCAGGTCATCTTCCCAGCCTCCTCTTTGATTTTCTGGGAAAGGTCAGGAATTTGAGAAGAGCTGGAGGAGGGCCTGGAGCTGGCCCAGGTGTGGACCGGCTTCAAAGACTTCTTCGTGGTTGTGTAACATCTGGCGCCTCATTCTTAGCCTGAGGCTTCCCAATTAAAGGTTTTCTCAGTTACCCCAAGCTTGCCCTACTCATTCCCGCCCGCCCCTCTGTCTTCCTCATCCCCCTCCCCACCAATAACTGGAGTCGAGAATAGCCAGAGAGCAGGGAGAGTTTGGAATGGAATCGATAGCTTCATTCTAAGGCACAGGAATAAAAATGGAATCTTTGATTTGCTCAGCTTAAGGAACTCCCCGATAGAGAAACTCCTGCTGCTAATGTGGGTTGGCACCTTTTCTCCAATTTATATTCTGAACAGCATTGCCTAGAGCATTGAGAATTTCGGGAAATTGTCCATGGTCACACTATTCTAGAAGAAGAAAAACCACATCTTCATCGCAGCATTCCAGTCTGAGAGAAAGCCCCTTCCCTTAATCTGAGGGGAAGCCCCCAGCCCAGCAGCCAAACCTTGTGTACCCTGACATGGGGAATGTGGGTAAATGACTTACATTCCTCATAAGGACCAGAAACCCCTTGAGAGGAGAGAGTGCTTCACTCCTTGCATTTGTATTCCTGAGGCCTGGCAAGAATGCCTGGCATACAGTAGGTGCTTAATAATTGTGGATTGATTGGTTACTGTGTCTGGAATAGAAGTTACTTGGCTTCAGTTCAATCCAATCTAACAAACATTAAGCACCTACTCTGTGCTAGCTGCCGAGCTACAAAGACCAAGATGAAATGGTTCTTGCCCTCAAGAGGCTTACATTCTATAGAAGGCAAACTGTATGTACACATATAAGTAAATACAATGAAACTGCGCAGTAATCTGGTGGGTGGAGGAGGTGCCAGGCACTGGAAGGATCAGCGAAGGTCTCAAGCTGAGATTGGAAGGAGTGAGGGATTCCAAGAGATGGAGGAGAATGTGCACCCGTGGAGGACAAGGAGTGCGTGAAGACCCAGAGAACAGAAAGGCCCTAGATGCCTGCCTGTCGATGGGTGGGTTGAGCCATTTTTAGGGATGAGATGTGAAAGTTTGGAAGGGATACCTTGCGAGGGGTAACAGGGTCTGGCCTTCAGCCAAGGACCACAACCATTTTCACCCTCAAGGGCTTTGAGGAGTCTTTATGAGTGGGAGAACAAACTCACGTGCTTGATTCTTCATGCCATCTTCTCCCACAAAACGCTGGCAAACCCATCTCTTCCTTCTAAGCAGCTAGAGCGGACTTGGGGCATACTGCGGTGTCCCCGAGAGCTCGGATTTTTGCCCTGACAAGCCCTTCTTTTTGCCTTTGGTGATTGGGACCAGGGACCTTCTTGTCTAGGCTTAGCAAGATCTCAAATGAGAAAAGCGTGTCAGTAGAGGGACTGATGTCACTGTTGTCTGTCCTGCTCAGACCTCATTTGAAATATTGGGTTTTGCCCAGTTAGGGAAGGAGAGTGACAAGCCAGAGTCTCGAGAAGGGCAGGAGGCTGGGGGAGAGTTCTGAGCCCATGTCATAAGACTTGGTTACCAGAGATGGAGATGTGAACATCTAAGACGAGCAGACTCATTGCAGTCAAGTATCTGACACACTGTCATAGGGAAAAGAAGTTGGGCTTGTGCTGCATAGCTCCAGAAGGGGTGTTTCGAGGAGGCAAAAGTAGGCTAGATGTAAGGAAGAACTTCCTACCAATCCTGGTCATTCAGTCGTTTTCAGTCGTGTCTGACTCTCCATGACCCCATTTGGGGTTTTCTTGGCAGATACTGGGGTGGTTTGTCATTTCCTCCTCCAGTTCATTTTACAGAAGAGGAAACTGAGGCCAACAGGGTGAAGTGACTTGCCCAGGGTCCCATAGGCAGTAAGTGTCTGAGGCCGGATTTGAACTTAGGAAGCTGAGTCTTCTGACTCTAGGCCTGGTGCTCTGTGCACTGTGGTGCACCCTAGCTGTCCTAATCCTACCAATCAGAGATGTCCAAAAGGGGTATGGGCTGCCTTGGGAGATATGGGACCCCACTTACTGGGGGCTCTCAGGTGGAGGCTGAATGGTCACTTAGTATGGTAGAGAAGATCCTTTTTTTCCATCTGAGTTAAACTAGGTAGTCTGAGGTCCCTTCCAATGCTGAGATTCCTGAAGTTGTAGACTGGCATTTCCCAGACACATTTAGTAGTATTTATATAGCACTTTAAGATTTGCCGAGTGCCTTTCATCTATTCTTTCATTGGAGCCTCCTGACGACTCTGTGAGGTGGGTGCTATATTTATACCCACTTTATAGGTGAGAAAACTGAGGCTGAGAAAGGTAAAGTAACTTTCTTTACACACAGCTACTATGTATCTGAAGCAGGATTTGAATTCCGGTCTTCCTGACTCCAATCCCAGCCCTCTAGCTGCCATGCCACATCGTTCCGTTTGTCTATGAAACATTTTGGGGTGAGCCATGTATCAACAATCTGTGAGTGCTGCTCTAGGGAAGATGGGAAGATGGAACACACCTGGGATAAAGAAAGGCTAGGGACACTTTGGAGCAAAATAGAGGCAATCAAGCCCATTCTCGTAGTTTGCTCATTCCTTCTCTGGGAGTCCCCGATATCAGTGGAAGCACAAGATGCATTACCAGATTTTAATAGTTGACTATGCAGGTGGGAAAAGGGTAATAGAATCATTGAACCATCTAGATAGACAACTCTCCCATTGTCTACAGAAGGAAAGACTGAGGCCCAAAGAGATTAAGTGACCTGGCCAAGATCACACAGGTAATAATAAGTAGCAGAACTGGGCTGCAAACCTTGGTCCTCTTGACTCCAAATCTGGGATTCTTTCCACTTCACCACCTTCGCCCTTCTCTCCCATTTCCCATGCCTAGTGTTTTAACCCAATAGTGTGGTAGGGAAGTACAGTTGAAAGAGAAGCGATTCCACGGGCTAGTTTTCTCTTTGTTTTATTAACATTCAGGGCTCTCTATCCTACCCACCATCCCAGCAGAGAAGCGTTTGAGAGGACTATAAATATTGGGGACTTGAAGGGGACTGGGCAAGTCACCTCAAAGCCCTGAAGGCGCCGGCTCTTTTTTGGCCAGGGTTGCCAGGACAACTTGGTTCTTTCCTCTCTAGAGGATGGTAAAGTATCAGCCCATAAAGACGTCCCCAAGAATCCACAGGTCTGAGTTCAACGTTGAGAAGTCACTGGTGCAGCCTCCCTTGTTCTGGGGAAGGAGGACAAGAGAGGATGCTAGGGCCATAGTTGGGATGCACAGTGGGTGGTGAAGGAAGGACAACCCAGCTCTCCAAGGCACCAGCCAAGAGCTTCTGGGGGACTTTCAAACCAAGGAATAGCCAATCCTCAGGGCTTCTAATCTCTTTCTGTGCTGCTGGATCCCAACACAAGGCTGCCCAATGACTCTCGGCCTCAAAGACCTTATAGATTCATTGGTCTACAACTAGAAGGGATCTTTGAGGCCATTGAATTCAACCTCATTATTTTACAGATGAAGAAAGTGGAGCCCGGAGAAGTTAGGACTTGTCCAGGGTCACACAACTAGTAAATATCCAAGACAGAATTTGAAGCCAGGTTTTCCTGTCACACTAATCTATGCTGCCTCTTGAAATGTATGTTCTCCTGGGGGAGGGAGACAAAATATACAAAGGCAAGTGAATGCAAAATTGGCCTAGGGCCGAACAGGGAGCACCAATGATAATATTTTCAGCCCATTGGAGATCCCAGGGTCAATTTGCCTTTGGCTTCCTTACCTGCCTGATGTAGCCATTAGCGGGTACAGAGTGCTTTATGCCACTGATGTTGAACATAATTGGTGGCAGAATACTGATGGAAGATCAGCTGACTCCCATCTGAGATGGGAAGGAGACCAAGGGAGAGATGAGAGAATTAGATACATTTCACATTTCTGCTAAGGGTCAGTCTAGAATGGAGCGCTTGGGATCATCACTCTTTTACCTCGCCATTGGCGTTCTGCCTGGCTCCTATGGCAGATTGGATGCTGGCGATTCCATCGGCAAGGCCAACTGCCAGTGAAGTCCCAGTGTCTGCGATAGCCTGGTAGCCCCCATTGTAAGCAGTGATGTTTCCATTCGTGGTGATGGTAGGACACACATACGCACACACGCACACACTCACAGAGAGAGAGAGAGAGAGAGAGATGGCTACAAATCTTCAGGAACTTACTCCTGGTCCCTAGACTGGGGCTGGCCTTAAGCATAGGATTGGAGACTACCTATTGTGATTTCAAAACCACAGGGATGGTCCCTTAATAATCCCCCTTCTTTCCATATTGACTGATGCTTGAGATGGCACAGACACATAGAACTTCAAAGCAGCCACCTTGTCCCTAGTACCTGGATAAGAATCCCTTCCACAGCACATCTCATCAGTGGTTACCCAACTATTCCTTCAAGACCTCTCATGAGATAGAACCCGGTGCCCCCTGAGGCAGCCCCTTCCACTGCTGGACAGCTCCGATGGTTAGCTCCAATTTTGCTTACATCCACTCTAAATCTTTCCCATTGCAAGATTTATCCATCGCTCCTAGTTCTTACCACTGGAACCAAGAACAGACTTCTCTCCTTGACACAAGAACCCTTCAGATACTCAAAAGCAGCTACCACATCCCCTTGAGATGCCTCAGAGCCAAAGACTCCATTGCCTTCAACTGATTCTCATAGGGCATGAACTCAAGGTCTTTCAACCACCTCCAGTGACTTCCTCGGGACATTCCAGTTCATCAATGTCCTTCCTAAAATGGGGCTCCCAGACTTAGGCATTTGTTCTGTTTCTAATTTCAGACATTGATCCCAAAATGTAATTTGGTTCTTCTTAGAGAAGTACTATGAAGGAAGGCTCTGGGGGGAGGGCATTTGGAGGTGGGGAAAGTGACAGGATTATAGGATCCTACATCTAAGACCCCAGAGGTCATCTAGACCAACCTCTTCATTTTACAGAGGAGGAAACTGAGGCCCAGGGAGAGAAAGTGATTTGCTGAAGGCCACACATAGGATCCCAGAGCTAGACCTGAAAGGGACTGAAAGCTCCCCCAAATGAGCTCATCTGGTGCCAGTAGAATGGAAGCCTCTTGGGGCAGGGATTGTT